ACCATTAACAGGTAAAATGGGCCAGCCTAAGGTGTTAAACAGTTCAAAGGAGTAGTAACAACCATGGATTCTTTCTTTCAATAGATTGAAGGCCACATTTTCCCCCTCAAAAAGAGGACTTCCAATTGACATAAGATGGGAATAAAGCTTTGCCTGGTACTACCCAACTGGCCATGTGCTTGCCTGATTCGACCCAACTGCAGTTTCTTTCTCAAACCACTCTAAAAAGGAACCAGAATGACAAAGCATTCAAGGAACCTGATGCTGAGACAAAAGCTCAAAAAAGGGTAAAAGACAAAACTTCAAAAGTTTCAAATGGAAATTGCATTGAATCCCTAGTATTATCAACAACAGATAGCTCCAAATACTGAAAAAAACAGGGGAAACAACAAAGAAAACCAAATAGCCGGCCGCCATAGCTGAAGTTCCACACTCACTCACATACCTGAGACGAGATCTACCCCAGGGCTGTTCATAAGCCCTTCTGTATCGATTCAGTATCTCATCTTCCGAGCAATTCACTCCATATTTCTCCCCAATTTGTTTGTATATCTATGGAACCAATTAAACAAATAAAACCCAGAAACAATTTGATCACCAAGAAGCTCGAAACAATCGAAATCGTAAAGATTGCAGAAATGGAAGCAGAGAAATCAGGAAGCCTCAATTCTTCTCACCTGAGCCATGGGCTGAGAAGGAACGACGAGAGTGCCGACGGCGTCAACGAGGAGAGCCTTGTGGGTGACGTCGCCGTACAGAGACCTCCTGTAATCCTCGTACTCTTTCACTCCCAAAAGGTCGAACGGCTCGGGCCCTGCGGTTTCCAGAGCGGCGGCGGAGGAGGAGGAATAGGCCGCCGCCGCAGCTGGAAGCGGATTGGAATATCCACCGTGTCCGGATCTCAGGGGGTTGAGGATCCTGCCGCTGAGAGCTGAGAAAAGGTTCTTCGTCAAATTTGTCCTTACAGCCATTGTTTTTGCTGCGTACCAATGGCCGCGGAGCTCTTTCTCTCTCGCTAACAGTCAGCCGTTGTTTTCTTGGTGCTCTTGAAGACTGGAGTGGCTGAAATGAAAATGGCTGAATACAATAAATAGAAGTGAAGGGGACAAAAAGAGAGTCTTATTCTATTTTATTTTTTGGGGTCACTGATGAATCTTCACTAAACTTTTAAACTTAAACAAATTATACACTAAAATACCAATAACTTTGTATATCTCTCTTAATTTTTTTTATATAAATTGTATACTTTAACTCATCGAATAATAAAATAGTGACATAAATCTTACCATGTAACATAAAAATACTCATTTTATCTAATTTATATATTTTAAATAAAATTTTCTACTCAATCCAGCTTCGCAACGACATCAGAGTTAAATCTCAATAAATTAGGGACTCAGGATGTTTAAATTTATTCACAACACTCTTGCACCCCACTTCGGTGGCAATCGAAGCCCTCTCGAAGATGCTTTAAAGATTTGAATAAATCAATTTTAACATACGAAGTGTCAGGATTGAATCGTAATAATTAGAAAAACTCAATCTAACTATTCCAACAACCAACCCACTATAAAGACCCTCATATTTTAACACTTTGTTCATGTTAGGAAGACTCAAATTAAATTAGATGAATATAAAGACCCTCATATTTTAACACTTTTGTTCATGTACAAGGAAGTTTTCATGTTATTCTTTGGTAAAATGAACCAACAGTATTATAAGGCGACCAAATGTAACGATTCTATTATCATTCCACAATCCCTTGCTTATCAAGTCACCCGTTAAAATAATATGAGGGGTTAGCACACGTGGATTGTGAAGCAATGGGACTTCCAAGTAATTTAATTAAATAATCTCCCCCCCCAAAAAAATCTATATGATTCTCTCCCTATAAGCATTTTGAACTTAAATATATTCAAATATTATTTTCCTTAAAAAAAAATTATATCAGGAGATCACTAATGTGGTAATGGACTAATGTTAACTAGTCTTCGTATTATGTTAATTAAGGGGTCGTTTCTTGCAATTATTTAGGTGAGAATGTTGTTGTACTTGCATTCTTTATAAAAAAAAATTAAAATTTTTATGAATACACAATATGTACATTGTTTGTTTGATGTAACAAAGACGCTCATTCATACAATCTCAACTTTTAACTGAAATTGTTATCTTTTTCAGTTAAAATTTATTTTATTTTTTAATTAATGACCACACAATCATATATATTAAACGTTGGAATCTATTATATACTAAATGCATTAATACATATAATGATCAAAATACATCAATTTAACACTCAGTTAAATCTAGTTCAAATTTAAATGATTTTTTAGTTGTTTATTAGCAGTTAAATATAGTTAATTATTTGCTCGGACCATTTCAACCTTAATTTGAATTCAATAATGTAAATTTGGGAGGGGGCAAAGATGGAAAAGTTTGTCCACATGCGATTGATTTTGATGCGGCCAATCGGCCATATCCATGGACCAGAAAAAGGCGGGCAATTATATATGAAACTTTGACGTGGCGCGCAATGGTGGTTCGTTAGATCCACGTCACTGTTTCCCGCCGGATGTGCATGGACGTTATCGTCGCAGTTACTTCGTGGGGCCCAGCTTGGCCTTAGCGCCTACTGCCTGCCTAGATATAAGATACCCATATAATAATAATAAAAATATTCCAAGGGCTTCTTATTAAGATTATCAAACCGGTTCAATTGTTGATTCGGTCAAGCAGGTGAATTATTATTTGATCGGTTAAATTAGATGGCTCAAATTACTTTGGATTTAGTGTAAAATAGAGAGAGGAGAGTGTTTGCGAGAAGTAGGGGAAAAAATGTTTAGCTTATTCGGTTGTTCGATTACACCAATAAAAATGACCGGTTTATTAAGTCCGACTTAAAGCCATATAGAGCTCGTCTGGAACTTCGTTCATTATCAGAATTGGTTCAACCGACCAGCTCGATATATATTTAACAACCATGTGTCTCGCACTAGGTGTTAGCCTCGGTAATGGATCCATGATTGATTTACATTTGAATTTTAGAACCAAATTAAAAAGTAGACGAATAGAAGGCGCGATTATAGTTAAGAAAATATTATAATTTGTAAGATAAGCATTTGGGTTATATTTCTTTAATGGTTTTTTTATAATGGTGATATAATAAAGACGTGGTTACTTAACCAATAAACCACATGTTAAAATACATGATTAAAAGACTTGATACTAGAACATTTTATCAAAGGATCTCATGTTTAAAACTCATGAATCTACTCGATCATTCCGGATAATTATTATCAGCTCATCAATAATGATCTATGCAAAGTAAAATAAAACGTATCAAAACTCTATCCAAATTTTAAGCTCACACGATAATTTTGGTCGATTCACATGGATTAACAGAGGACCTAGCTTGTCGACAGCAAATTTCAAAGTCAAGAAAGAGGCAACTATGAATCTATGATCCCTCTGTATATCATGTGGTGGCTAATCATGTACATGATTAAGAGAGAGAGACCATAGAATGAAATATGGGGATAGAAATGAAGGCAACCCACTAGCCACAAGTTAACTTTCAAAGAACTTGACAATTTGCTCTTTGGAGAAAGGAATGAAGATAGAAAGGGAGAGAAACAGTTGGGGAAGAAGAAAACGAGTGGGATAGGGATAGTGACCTTAAATTGGATTGGAGGGAAGAGCCAGCCACAAGGAAGAGGAAAGGGACTCAATACTTCAAAGTTGAAGCCACACCGTTTAAGGATGCCCACTCATTACTCATATACACAAACTTAACCCTACATCTTGATTTTGATTTTGATTTTGATACAACCCCCATAATTGGAAGAATAGGTGTCCACCATCCCCATGAGAAGAATTGGGTCAATTACAAAAATAGCCACAAAACTTTGATGTTACTACCATACATCGACTTTGTTTCTCGACTAGCTTGTTACTAAAGTTTGAAATCACTAATATAACTTTGACCAGTTAGATGTTCCATTCGAATCGTCTGAATCGAAGTAATTCACAAAAACTAATTATAGAAAGGAACAACACAATGGAAACGGGAATCAACGTGGGTAGTGTTCAGGTAGGGAGATGTGTTTAGGTTGGTTTCGGGTTATTAATTTGATACTGGATCAGGTGGAACGTGTTATCTTACTGAGTAACTAGAGACTTTGTGGCCTTTTTCCATTGTCAAGAAATGAAAGCTGAGACCCTGACCTGGACAACATGGAGACGAAGCTAAATGAGACTGTTTCGCTGGTTATCTACTTAAGTGACTGATTTGTTAGAATTTAATTATTAAGTGAGCGCTTTGTGATGGCTCCAATATTGAGTGACCATTTCTATAATTGACCCCAAAACATCATATAATGCAACTAGGGACCATAGTCTTTTATTAGTGCTTTTGTTGGGTGGTTGTCTAACTTCTTACATATGGACCAGGACTACTTACTCCCCACCACCACAATAGTAGACATGCTATTTTTTTTTTTTTTTTTGTAAAAATGGTGCCTACAACACTTCAATGCACCATAACAACTTATAGGATTCCATCTCAAGTAAAGACATTACAATGATGTGATAGTTAATTGCGTAAAATATACTCCAAGCCCAAGACGAGGCAAGTGATCAACAATAAAATTGTCCTTACCCTTTTAAAATCTCTTTGTTAGAATAAATGAATAATTTATGATGGTGTTTGATTAACCTAAGTGCAAATTAGTACCACACAACCTCACTCTCGTTGGCCATAACACTAAAAAGGGTAAGACAAATTACGCTTGATCAACTCAATGACCAGGAAAGATTGTTACTCAACCATGTACCAAATTGATTACCAATTCAACTAATACTATTTTTTGCAAATCCTTATTTCGTGCCTGAAAACATTAAAAATAACTTCCTAATCACCCGTTGATCTACCACATGTCCAACTTTAGATGAATTGCCAATACCTATATATTCCCATTGTTTTTATGGTGTTTACCATAACAACAACAATAACACAAACAAACAATAATATTTGTGAACTATTTTCTTGAGTTCCACCAAGAAGAAGAAGAAACATCCTACCCTTTCAACATGAACAACTCTCAGAACGCCAGTTACCAAGCTGGTCAAGCTAAGGGCCAAGTTCAGGTGAGGAGTGAATTATCCAAGGTCACATATTTATCGAAGTATTACTTTCTTTTTAGCTAATTGAATGTTTTTTTTTATCAGGAGAAAGCTAGCGGAATGATGGAAAAAGCCAGCAATGCTGCTCAATCGACCAAGGAATCTTTACAAGAGGTCTATTTTCCACAAACATAATTATTAAATTTTTCATTAATATAAGCCATTTACATACAAAAAAAATTGCCATAATAATTTGAAATGCAAGATCAGTTCATCCAAAAAAACTTGAATTGTTAGGAGTCAACATATGGAAAAGAGGAAATTGAAATGATTTAATACAATTTTTCAATGTTTACAGGCTGGTGGTCAAATGCAAGCTAAAGCACAAGGAGCTGCTGAGGCTACCAAGGATGCCCTTGGAATGAACAAATAAATGAAGAATGGCATTTCAAAGTACCCTATGGCTGATTAATTAGTATTCCACAATGTAATGAAATAGTATTGAAAATGTTGGGTTATGTATACCTTTCAAAAAGAGTGCTCATCATATGCTCACAGATCAACAAGCTTTGATGGTCAAGATGTACTTGTCTTTTATATCATAAAATATAATCTATGTTCGTTTATATATTGTCAAATTTTACTCTGTTATCAAAACATTCATATCGATAGTTTTGGTTTGTCAACGAATCTTTTTTCAATCCTATCATAACATTCATATCATTCTCACGTATATACCGATTAAAATTTTGTGAAAGTATAAGACTTACAACTAGCGAAAACACATGTTTCATCAATTTATTAACCAAGCAGTTGCGGAGCTGTATAGGACCTCGTGGAGTTCACGGACACGAATTGAAGAGAGAAAAAATTGAAATTGTGGTTAAATCATTTTATGAACTTGGACATTTCACCCCATAAATTTTAGTAAATGGACTTAATAACTTTTTTTTTTGTTATGAATCCATTTCAAAATTTGGTAAAGAAAAAGTATGTGTCATTGTTACTTGATTCTTTTGTATTTTGCATCATGAATCGGACGAAAGGTATGACTTATTCTTATCATTCATGTACAATTCATAATTTTTTATTTAATGAATTGCAACTTCACATTTTTGAAAATAATGTGAACTTAATTTTGAATATAATTTACAATAATTTTGTAATAGACCTAGCTTCCCCTATAAGTATATATAGATCTTAATGAAGAACTTATGGTTATTGTTCGTGAAATTGAGTGAAATCGAGCAATACCGATGAAAACCCCGCTCAAGTGGTTGATAATATAAATGTTTTCGTTATAATTTTGTTTTAATTTTGTCAATATTGCGTTTTTGAATCATTAGTCTCACCACTTGATTGGTTACAGCACAAACTTTCATAGGCATTATCATTTTTTATAGTGTTTCACCTACTATATTGTTTGTATTGTAACACGTTGATATTCAAACAACAAAAACTTGATGAATAAAACTAATAAAATTGATATACCTCAAGCATCATGTCACATTTGGTTCACTCAATAAATTTACTAAATTCAGCACTATGAGAACTAAAAAAACACCCATTCAAGATTCAACCATTACTATTTTTCCTCAAGTCAAGCCCTAATCTCATGCAACTTGATAATCGCTCATCAATCCGCGACATGTGTCGAACGTTTAAAGGGATGCCAACCGTTATAAATATCTCTCGATAACTTACTCTTTTCCACAACAAGAAGAGGAAAACAATACATAATTTTTCTTTACTAGTTGTTTGAGTTCTATATATTATCCGGAGAAAGAAAAAAAAAAACCCTCTCATTTTCCCAACATGAACAACTCTGAGAACGCTAGTTACCAAGCAGGACAGGCTAAGGGCCAAGTTCAGGAGAAAGCTAGCGGGATGATGGAGAAGGCCAGCAATGCTGCTCAATCTGCTAAGGAATCCATCCAAGAGGTATATATATGTTTCATTTCATCTTATTCCTTTTTTACGAAAAATTCTTAACTCCAACGTTGTTTGGATACAGAAGCAACTTCGAAAACAAAGTAATTGTGAATGTTGTTTTGCTATATATGTGCTTGCAGACTGGTGGTCAGATGCAGGCTAAAGCACAAGGAGCAGCTGAGGCCACCAAGGATGCCCTTGGAATGAAGAAATGAAGATAGGCATGCATTTCAAGACAATAATAAAAATTAATATTAGCAATGGAATATAATTGATAGCCAAAGAGAAGACATGAAATGTAGTCAAATTATATGAAGAGTTTTCATGTGGTTTGAGTGACCGATCTATCAATAAATTTTTAAATTCTACTTTCAAAGTATATATATTTCTTTTTCATGATCTATGTATGAAATGTTATAATTCCATGGAATTCCCAACCATATGATTTTTTTTTTGTTTCCTATTATGATGGAACTCGGTTAAAAGAATACCAACATTTCATTTTTCCTTTATCTTCCAAAGAAACCTATAACCCGCCAAGAGGGTAATTAACTCGTCATGCAAATACCATCTTAATTCGCATTTCTATATAATGAGACTCCATGAACAAATATCAAAACAAAATTTGTTAATCAGAGCATTAACTTTTTTTACGGATATCTCCATAAGTCCTGTCATTATTACGTTCGATCCAGATTTCCGACTGGATCATTTTAAGGATGGAGCTCATAAAACTTGGAGTATGTAGTACGTCTAGTCTCTCGATCGATCATATCATCAGTTGAGACGGTAGAATTGTTGCAACTATAAAACATGAGTGGTTAATTCACTGCAATGAGCATCTATATGGTAAAGGAAACCCTAGGTTGTCGATATATAGTTGCAACTTGCAATGGTGTCATAGAAAGCTTGTCATTCAAAATTCTGGTGTTATTTGAATTGTAAAGTAGTATTTAATAGCACTAAAATACCTTAAATTTTAGTCACCTATGAGAGAAGAAATTATCTTGCAAATTCACCATTTCATGTGGCTCGTACATGTCATTTTGATTCTGTAATCTCCCTTACTATATAGCTTGCTAGTTGAAGCAAATAATTATTCTTTTGAAACATTAGTCTCATGGATTTTGATAACTAGCTGTTAATTGTACAATTTCATGCAGATTTAACTTAGTTTCAGAAATAATAACTAATGATTGAGAAGTAAAACTAATATTTTTGACATACCTCTAATCCATTTGTCACGATCGGATTCAATCGATAAAATTTTCTAATTTAGCACTAGTTATCTTTTCGGCTTCACGACCAAACTCCAAATATTTTTGAACTTAAAAAAAACACCCATTCAACCCTTACTATTTTTTCACAAGCAAAACCCTAATTTCACGCCTTAAACCATTAACGTTGTTTAGCTTGTCAACCACTCATTTTCCACCTCGTGTCGAAAATTTTATCATATATCCCTGAGAAGCCACGTGCCAAACATTCGATGGAACGCCAATACCTATAAATTCCTCTCTATGTCATAGTCCTTGCCACAACAACAATAACAAAACAATAATCTTCTAATTCCACATAGAGAAAGTATAACATCCTCCTCTCCTTTTCCAACATGAACAACTCTCAGGATGCCAGTTACCAAGCAGGCCAGGCTAAGGGCCAAGTTCAGGTGATGACTAATCATCCACCAATTCGATATACTTATCAAGTAATTGCAGAACTATACCAAGATATTAATGTACTAATATGTAATACTTTTTTTTCTTTTTTGTTATTGTCGATTTCTAGGAAAAAGCTAGCGGCATGATGGAGAAAGCTAGCAACGCTGCTCAATCTGCTAAGGAATCTGTCCAGGAGGTTTGACAAATATCATCGATTTTTCATATTAATATCTCATTCATGTTGTTTGATATATATGTGTGCATATCATGTTGTTTGATATATATGTGTTCATTATGTGCTTGCAGACCGGTTCTCAAATGCAGGCCAAAGCACAAGAAGCAGCCCAGGCTACCAAGGACAAGCTTGGAATGAACAACTAAGACACATTTCAAGACAATAATAAAATAAAAAAAATAATAGCAGTATAGAAATCGATGTAATCATATATAAGTATTCTTTTCAATGCTGAAAAGCCAATAAAACTCCAATATTATCAAGTATTCTTTTGAATTGGAGATCAAACAGAACATGGTTGCTATTCACTAGATCACATGATGAAATTTCTTGTACATGTTTTTACACACAGAAACAGAGAAACCAAATGGGATTCTCATTCTATTCACAAGCAAGTCGTCTCTCTGTACTCTCTCAATGAAGCTTGAGGAAGGTCAGGACGAGATCATAAACTTCCTCTTTAGCAGCATCAGCCATGACATAGTCAGCATGAGCATAGTTATTCACATACTGAGTCATGAACTTGCCATTGCTATCATCACGGCCCTTCAGCACATCCAGCAGGATCCTCACATCGCTTTTGTCCGAAAGCGTGTCGGTCCCTCCATAGCTGAAGAAGAGAGGGAAGTCGTCGGGAATGGTGGTCATGCTGTACTCTGGAGGGCTAGGTTGTCCATAGTGGTTCATGTTCTCGTATTCGTCGTCGTAATCGTACATCGCCAACGTTCCTCGCCTTGCCACTGGTTTCATAAACGTTGCAGGCATTAGATTAGGAGACAGCAGAGTCAAATTTCGAGATGGAAAGTTGGCAAAAGAAAAGGAGAGAAAATTTAATTACTCTGTGCAAAGTGGATCATGTTCTTCGTTGATGTAGGTTGTGGTTCATATTTGAGAAACAGGTCCACTGTGGAAGATTGCAGACAGCAATTCTGACCTGTAATTGCAGTCATTTACACCAAATGAGAACGGTTTCGATTGCTTGCTACTCAAGGTAAGCAAGGCCTATGTACCTGTAATTGCAGTCATCAGGTCTCCACAGTCTACACCAGGTACATTGCAGATGTTGTGAAGCAAGTTTGCAACATCAATCCTGTTTCCATTGAAAATAGCAGAACTTTCAACAATGTGGTTGCTTGTTATACAAGTAAAAACTTTGATATTGAAACCTGCAGTAATTTTTCTTCTTACCCTTTGGGATTGAATTCCTTGAAATCTAACCAGTACAGTTCCTGTTAACATAACAAATTCAGTCATTTTCTCATGAGATTTTAATTCCAACCTTTCTACTCCATATTTGAGAAAAAATTTACCTTGGCAATGAATAGATCAACACCAACTCTGGCCAGGAAGGAGTTCATCTGACCAAGATATGCAATGGGGCAAAGCAATGTAGCTGATCTCAGCTTGTCCATCAACAGACCCTTTGATAAGGAAGCAAGAGCTATCAAAGTCCCCTGTGAGTGTCCAATGTAATGCAATTTCTCCCCAGTTTGGTTATGAACATAATCAACTGTAGCTGGAAGATCATAGTTCACTAGCTCATCCCATGACCAATTCCAGTAATCCTGATGTTCAGCATTGAACAAACAGTTCATAAACAGCAAAAAAGATCAAACCTTTAGTCCTAATCAAGATGGAAGAAAAGAAGGGTACTTTGTCATCTGTGGTGAGTGAGACATGGCCGCGGCTATACTTTGTTCCTCGACTGTTGGCGATCCATACATCATAACCATTATCGGCCAAAACAAATGCTAGGGCCTGGCTTGGAGGCAGAAGCAGCCATGTCATCCCATCCTGAAACCACATCAACATCCAGTGATTAGTAGAAGTTCGTCGAAGTGGGATCCAAAGTAAACAAAAAAAAAAAATCAGATAGCATTCGATTACCATTAACACTCCATGTTGCAGAAGGACTGGTGTCCTTTTCCCTGGGGTTATGCCACCTGAAATCCCAACTGGGATCCTCTGTAAACTCAGTATGTAACCATCTGAAGTTGTCACCTGACAAAAAAAATATCAACAACACAATAACATAAGACCAATGTCAATACAATACATTTCATGCTTCTCGGTGTTCACGAAACGTTTCAATCGTTACTCTACCGTGTGCTCTTCACAGATGTAGCCTTGATTTGTGACCAGGAGATCACAAATGCCACCATCTTCATCGTCACCGAGAGAGAGTGCAAATGGAGCAGCTGCTGGTGCTGTTGCATTAATGGCAGCAGAAAGATCGGTTGTTCTTCCTGTACCAACTGTGAACTTGCAGAGAAGTGACGACAATATGACTAAGCTTATAAGAGCCTTGGCCATCTTTCGATCTTAAGCTCGGAAGAAGAAAGTGATATGGTTACTGAACCCTGATATGAGATTGCTTTGCTTCCCAATGTTGCAGAGCCAAATTTATAGCAGAAGAATTTACATCTAATAAAAAAGGGGTCAACAAAATCTCTGTTTAGGAATAATAAATTCCAAATGAAATCAATTAAGTCAGCTACTTTGTAGCTTAAGTTCTACAGAATCGATCAGGACAAAGTAACAGTATCAATGTGGTGTGGATTGATTCTGGTTTCAAATTGCCTGCAGTTTCTTTTTACAGGTCGGCACTCTGCATAATCGATTAAATTCCATTCCTTAAAGCTCTTAGATTAGCTTGGAACCATGCATGAGTTGAGAACACCTTTCGTTTCCTTGGTAAAGACAGAAAACTGATTCACCTATTTCCACTCGAGAAATAAATTTTGCTTTTTAGTTTCTATGACAACCATGGGTACTTCCACATCCCTTACGGATTGTTACTATGCCTGTATCCTTTAGAATACATCGTTTTGTACTTTATATCTATTCCTTGATTGGAATTTCCTTTCTAATGATTAACACCTTGTTCATTTGAATCATGAAATAATTATAAGGTTGTTCATTTTGCATTTGCACATAGTTGAATGGACGATATGACCCACGCGACTACAAACCACGACTCTTCTGTTTACTTAAAACATTTATGTATGATATATGTTTGGTCGATTAAACCTGGAAAGAAACCTTAAAACAATATCTATTGATTGTCAACTCGGCACTTCTAAAGTCGGTTCATGTTATTACACAAGAACTACTGTTCTTCTTCTACTACTACTACTACTATACAATCTAGATTTTTTCGTTTAACGCTCTCGGATTAGTTTGGAACCATGAGACCCTGCTATCGTTTAAGAAATTTGAATTATTTTCATAAAAAACTTAGTTATGATCGTGCTAGGCATTTTGTAGATAACGAAACGTTTAATGAGTTTAAGACTACATAAAAGAAATCATAGAAGGTTGACCCTAATTATCTTCAAAAAAAAAACAAGAAAAATTTGTAAATATTATCTTTGTGATCGCCTATAGTTTTAATTATTTTTACGTTCTATGTAGCTTACGTAGTTTGTATAATGTCATTTTTAGGGAAACACATCACTTACCAAATGATTAAATGAAAAAGTTAGTATTATGCTCCATACATTCGAGAATCGATGAGTTAAAATAGCAATACTCGTTCAAAGTTACTATTTCCTTCCAATCCAAACCCTAGTTTCAAGCCTAAACACATTCAAGTTTAATGATGTACTATTATTCCACGTGTCAACTCTCAATTAAATACCGATTAATATAAATTTCTTCCTACATCAAGGTATTTCTCATCAAGAAAAATAAAGGACAACACACAGAGATTTGCATTGCAATCCAAGTTCTACCTATAGAATCTTAAAACACTTAATTTTCCTTTACATCATGAATAGCTCCCAAAACACGAGTTACCAAGCTGGCCAAGCCAAGGGCCAAGCTCAGGTGATATGATTTGCCCACAATCCCATATAGAATCATTACTTAATTATAAATGATTTTTTCTTTGTATATTTAATATTTTTTTCGATCTATAGGAGAAAGCTAGTGGTCTGATGGAGAAAGCTAGCAATGCTGCACAATCCACCAAGGAATCAATTCAAGAGGTTGGTTTAATCATGGAAAACAACTATATATATTAGTTTCATTTTATTTCTTTTTTCCCTCTTTGAAATTGATTAATTTTTGTTTTGTGTTTGATACGTTTTTATTTATTGTGCAGGCGGGTTCTCAAGTGCAGCTCAAAGCACAGGAAGCGGCTGATGCCACCAAAGAGAAGCTCGGGATGAACAAATGATCACATACATTTTTCAAGATATTCCTCATTTATTTTTCCTATTCTATTTTAAGTTGTAATCGATTTGGGACTCGAATCCGTTTTTATACCCAAATAAAAGAAAAATAAAAAACAATTACCTTGATCCCATTTGAAAATCGGCTATCAAATAATCCATATATAGCTCCTTATAAGTAACTCTTTTCTTATTGCAATTTATCCAAGAAGACCACCTTATTGGAGGCAAGGCAATGCCCATCTTATTATCAACAAAAAACAAATCTCTACCTATGAATACCAAATAGAACATGGGCTTTCTCCCGGCGTGAAACTATTAAAGGCCCACACGGAGCCTGTAAATCATGGGCCGTAGTAGCTCAATTTAAGGCCCACATCTCATTTGAGGGAGGCGGCTCTTATAAGAAGGCCCATATTAGTTACAGCTTGGCGCGCAATAATTAACCGCCTTTCAGGGATTTTTCAAAACACCCTAACTTGCTATCCAAGAAACGATCAAATCCATTACAATCCTATCTGCAAGGAAACACAACAAATCATATATTCGTTCTCTCAGTTGATTCTCCGCTTAATTTCATAAACCGGCAATCGATCGAACCTCCACTCGAGAAACGATGGGTAATCTCTCGTCGGACGTCGCCGACAAAGATCAGGTGCCGATTCTCCCGATGGACGGCGAGCGCAACGTTCTTATAACCAGTGCGCTGCCCTACTGCAACAATGCACCTCATCTGGGCAACATCATCGGCTGTAATTATTTTATGATTTGACTTCTGGGTAGATTTTCCGGCGAGGATGAACAATTCTGAATAAAAAAAAAGTACTTGGTTATCGTTTTCAGGCGTGTTGAGCGCCGATGTGTTTGCTAGATACTGCCGGCTACGAGGCTACAATACGTTGTACATCTGTGGAAGGGATGAAGCTGTTAAAGTGAGGAAGGAGGAGAAGAAGTTGTGACCTATGAAGATGACATGTTTAGAGTTGATAGGGTTTAGATCAGTTTAGAGTTGAAGAAGTTGTGACCTATGAAGAAGTTGTGACCTATGAAGATGACTAATCAACGCACCCTAGCAACAACAGGTGATCCAATTGATCCGATCGACAACTCGCCATCATAGCTCTTTGCCGCTTTCGCTAATTGACTTGAATTATTCGGAACAATCTTCATCACCTCCATTGAAGACCTCCACAACCTCACCACTCTCAATCAACCTGATTCCCAGCCCTACATTCCCCCACTCCCCATGAACATGGATTTCACACTCTTGATCACAATTCACACCCAATGGCACCAATTTCTCCAGGGATTTCCCAATCCATGGATTGGAGACCAACCATATCAGAAGCACTGTTCTCTTGGAGTAGAACAACAACGGATTCCTAAATGCATGTAGGTTTAGTGATCATCAGTCGTTGAATTGTAATTCTCAAGGTCAAACATGGAAGTGCCCCAACTTTGGTAGCAGTCAGAAAGTGCCCTAGCGTCACCTAAGGGTCACCATCCTAGAACAAGTACTATATAAAGAAACTGTACTCCAATGTAATAGAAAGAATTTTCCTCAGGAACTAAATTAAGCTCAAGAAGTATCCAACCTTAAACTAAACAAATCAACTATCAAGTATCAATCAAGTGGGTTCTTCAATCAATAGTGAAGCCCAAAAAGAAAATTTTCAAGAAGAAAGAATAATCCTACCAAAAACTCCTCAGAAAACCCAATCCACCTTACAAGTTGGATACTTTCCCTTCCAGGTTTTCTGCATTATTAGAAAGGAAGAGAACCCCCAAAAAGAAAAGAAAACAACAAAGGCAAACCCATGATGGAGAGAGATCGATTTACAGCTTACAGCAAATGCAGCTAACCAGCTAGCTCTTTAAAAATCTTGTATGTATGTATCTACACCTTAGTCAGCTTGGTTGGCAGCCATGGTAACCAGGAACTCAGGTCCCAGCTTCCCATTTCTCCTTGGTGCTCTAGCTAGAAAAGAGGTTTCGATCTGTAAAAAGAACCAGAGAGCAGTTGTAGTTGCATTCATTACATGGCTCAATGGTTCAAGACTTTTCTTGAAGGAGAAGTTCAAGGGAAGAGATTTTCTTTCTCCAAAGTTGTTACCTTCGATGTTATCGAGGGCTACCTATTTGCAAGGTTTGACCATGATTCTTAACACGATGATCGATATCCATATCTCCAGCAGCTGAATTCTGGATAGAGTCTCCATTTCCATCTTCATGGGATCTGGAGCTGCTTTGAACAGTCTCTCCATCTTTGACATGTGATCCTTGAGAAGATTCCCTCAAGCTTCTTAGTATTTCTTCAATGCGACCATCATCGTCTGTATCAAGAAACCGATTGGGTATAGGGATCTCTAGAGATTCTTTCACGTTATCATCATCAGGGACACTGTTGTCAAAAGTAGGTGGCCCATCTTGGGAGTTCTTTGAGTTCTCCTCGGAATCATCATCATCATAATCCAAATTCCTGAGAATCTCAGGAAGAGAATAACTACTATGCTCTTCTGAATACTTGGCTCTCCTTTCGACATCACTTCTATCCTTAAACTCTTCACCATGATTCTCTGCCACGGGTTGCATCACAGAAGGAGGATCTTCCTTCACAACTGAACGGAATTTATTCAGTGAAGGTGGGATCTTTGTGAAGAAAGTTTCCAAGAGGTTCTTTGTTACTCCCCTGTTGTATGGGTTCTCCTTCTTATCATATCTGTACCGGAAATTCTCATAGGTAGTCTGCAACAACACAAGGATCCAAATGGCTCAAAGAGAAGTTCAAATATTGCATAACTTGGATAATGTTGAGACAAGAGCAAAGAGCACTGTGACGGCTTACCTGGTTTGTGCAAATTAGATAGAAATGGAAGATCGTTAAGCCTCCAACGAACCAGACAGCAACAAAACAGTATACTATGAGGAAATCGGAGAGCACATCTTGAGACATAGCTTTCAAAACCCTCGTGTCTTTCTGAAGGAGGTTGACCCAAGAGAACACAAAGACATATATACACAAGATGGTTGCTGTTGCTATAAACATGAAGAAGAACCGATAATTTCGCTGCAAAAAGAACATGTTTGTTGGGATTCAGTAAGAGTGCAAGCTTATCTAATAACAAAATGCAGAACAGCAAAAGTTCAACTGTCGACATCATTTTCAGTACTACTGTTATAATCAAAACCAGCATCCTAAGCTTCAAAGTCAAAAGAAAACAAACTCACTATGCCAATGCACTGCCCTACCCAAGGGCAGTGATGATCGAAACTCTGGACGCAGTTGTTGCAGATTGAACAATGAGAAGCACGGGGAGGACGATATAGTAAACACGTATCACAGTACTTGACCTTCACTGCATGGCCATTAACCATCACATCCTTTGTACGCGGTAGTTTCAAATGAGGGGTTCTGCCACTTACCCACTCCATGGATGGGGTATTAATGTCTGAATTTTCATCCGACTCTGGAGGCTTTGAATTTCTACACAATATTCCGGGATCTCTACTAGATGTTAATAGGAGAAACAGCAGATCCTGCAACAAGTTTTGACTTACGAATCAGTAGTCTACCTTCCACAAGAGCGATCAGCTACATCCTAAGAGAAAGAAGAATTGTTCATCCATTTTACACCACTCCCATCTCACTAAGGAATTATTTATGGAATCCACTAATCAATTACTAGTTACTTCCTACAAGAGAATTGCTAGCTGCTAATAAAAAGCCAGAGTGAAAACTTACCAACAAGGTGAGAGCGCAGCCCCCAATCAATATAGCATACCAATGGGCTGGATTCTTGACATTTCCGTTCACAATCGTGTAATATAACTTTCCGCAGAAAGCAATCGAAGGACCAGCAATGAGGAACATTGACAAGAACATTGATGCCACATCAGGACCAAAGATCAATCTTCCACCGCAGAAAAACCTCTGGGGAATACATAGAGAGATCAAGTTATTAGGCAACAAAACCAAACATTTCCAAGTACTTTCTATCAACCTGATGATCATCAGCTAAATCATTACAGCAACCAGAAGGCAGAGATTACTAAAGTATCATCAGACACTAAAATGATCACTTTGCAGCATAGCTATTACTAAACAACTAGCCGTGGAGATACCTATCTAAGTTAATCAAACAGTAAAAGAATTTGAATTAAGGTGAATGAAACAGCTCCAACCCACTAAGCAAGTTGATACCCAACAGACCATCAACTCGGTTGCATGACATGAGCAAATAGCCATATCAAACAGAGGGAAAGGAAAAACGAAACCCTACCCAATTCAATCCAAGCCATAATTAAGTAAACCCATTAACAGGAAGAGAAAGACGAAGAGGACTAACATTATTTCCTTTCCAAACTCGATAAAGCTTCTTGGGTTTATCGGCGGCCATCGCTAGCCGTCCGCCCCACCTCCAGAAAAATCTCTCCCAAGTCTCTAACCCCTCTCTCTTTCTCTCTATGATCCCTAGCTATAGAATTGGAAATGGAGAATTTCGACAGAGGAAAACCCTCCACACAATCCGTTCGAGTGAAGGAGACGAACAGGAGAGAGAGAGAGAGGGTCGGACAAAGGTGAGTGTGGGAAGAAGAAGAAGAGATCGTCTTCCCTCCTCTTCTACTCTTCTCTACGTTGTTTGCTGCATTTATTTTTCTCTCTGTAAATTTCTTTCCTTTTTGTTCCCGCAATTTTTTTCCCTTGTCTCTCTGTCTCTGATAGTGCCAATAGGCGTATTGCCCTATGAAATGGAAGCTGGAAGCGGGGCTGGCGGGCGATGATGTAGTGAGAGAAGGAAGAGAGAGAGAGTGGGTTGGCCATTGTTGAGCCGGCTGGCTGGTGGATTGTTGGTGAGCGATGGCTTTCGGGCGGGAGCGGGGAACGGACGGATCTTCCAAAAAAGGACCGAACTCTCCAACCGGCGGTTTCTTGGCTTTTTTTCAGATTTAAACAGAAAATATTAAAATATACATTTTTTTCATATTGCAAATTAGTCTGTCATCATGTCTTAGTGAATATGCCCCGTCTACACAATAAATTCTATAATATTTTTTGACATCCTATTAAAGTAATTTTTAGTTTTTAACGTTAAATTTCTTTTATCCAAATACATCATATGATATGCCTATGTGTGTTAGTAATATGTCTTTCGGCCCTCACATTCAAAAGTCTCATTAAACACCAAAATGAACATATTGTAACCATAAGAAGCAAAGAAAGGTTTGTTAATCAATGAGGAGTCCATTTCACATGGTTACGAAGCATGAAATGATCCGGACTTGTAATGAAATCATATGAAACTATTGCAATCGGGAGACTGAAAACGAATAAACAATATAGTATAATAACTTATCTCTACAAAATCTTGATATAATGATACGTCGATTACAATGTAAAGTATTATATGTAATCCACAATATGTTATTTGCGTAGATAATCTTATCAGTAATACCGTAAATACTCTTCAGCCTATAGCTCAATATGTTCAATCACACATCCAAAATCTATGATGGGTAAATACTATATACACTAGGATGGGTAATATCCCAATAATCTAAAAGACAATCATGTTTGTCTTCATGTAGTTGATGTATATGTACGTGTGTTTATATCTCACAAGTGGAAAGTGGTCAAATTTTATTCCCGTTTTCCTCGCTAATTCCCAAATTTTCATTTATCTCATATTAGTGTTATATTATTTTTTTTTTTTTGAGGGAAGTGTTATATTATTTATTACTCTTCTTCTTCTTCTCTTGTTTTTAGTTTGTATCAACAATACAACAGAAGTTATCATAATCCGGCACTTGTTTCTTTCCCCTTTGTCTTTACAGATAATTTCATTTCCATGTAATAATAAAAAAATCTACATGTATTTACACTTTTCCTACTAATGATTCTATTTTTTGGATGAATTTGGAACAAACCCAAAACATCAAGCTTGATAGTTAGTGCTACCAACGAAGGATGAAACGTGGAGGGCACCACTCTATGGACTTTCAGTTACACTCACGCGTCTATGAGGGTGGTTTGTTATTAGAGGGTGGGTCATTCGTTGTATCGTACGGTACGATGATTGATGTTCGATTAAAGGCAAGTCGAATTTGATTGGAATAACTTACGAGATAATGTAATTCTAGTTCGTTTACTCTAGTGTGTGACTAGAAAGAGAATAGATACGCAAGAAGATACGATTTTTGGCTTGAGAATTGTACATTACCTGGGTGGAAGAAAAACGTTCCGAACCTTCTACCAAAACAACGACTGGACTCGATTCTCCTATGGGTGGAGAAACGGGCTCCAAATGTCAGAAAGGAAGAGAGGCCGACCATGATTTGCTTTGACGCCTCCAAGTGACAGTTCTCACTTCTAGGCTCTAGCCGTCCGTTTCTGGAGATCCACATTTGCTTTGCAGGGATTCTATGAAGAAGAAAACAACTCATCTGTGAAGGGTCTTGAAAGCTATGTTTTGATTTTTTGAACCTTCCATAGAGAAATGAATATATGACAAGGGAGAGACAACGATTTCCTTGACTAGTTTGGACTTTCCTAACTAAAGCATCTCTCACAATCTGAGGCTGGTTTTGGAGCAACCTTGGTCCATCAATAGGCTCCGAAAACATCCCTCTCGAGGGTCGCTCTCAGTTCGCAAACTCTCACATAGAAAGCCAATCCAAACCTTTTGGTCGAAACGTAGAGAGAAACAGAACTCGTTGATTCGCACCTAATCACCACCACCAGGATTGTGTTAATGAGCCATTGATCTGATCTGATTCTTCTGTACGAGCTTATGCATGTCGAACCTTCCAAGAACTTGCAGACATCACCCTTTCACACAATTGATCCTTTGAACAGAGGTGTTCCCAAATGGCAACTAGAGTTGACCCCGAGTTTCAAACCTACCAAAATGAAAATTTGCCTAAAGATGAGAGGAGGTGTTGAATGATTCTCGGAGATAACGAGACAAACAGTGTGACACTAACAGGAGAGCTAGTGTTAGTGTTGGTTTGAAAACTCACGCAAGTGTTTAAATCTCTTAATAGCCAGATTTGTTACCTTGGATAACAATGAGGGAAGGTTGCCTCTAAGAATGGAAGATCAGAGGGTATGTACAGCAGAACCCGCTGCTCCAACACTGCAAAACAAATAGAGAGTTTGCAGGGAAAAAATGACCGGATGAGAAACTAATGAGAAAAGATGACATGTTTCAGATGAAATTTAGAGAGACGTACCACAGAAAGCAATGGTCCCTGTTTAAACTTGTTGTGAAATGCAAACGTGAGAGGCCTGGGGGTTTCTCCAGGTCCCCTAATGAAGCCACTGCGTAAAGATCACAACAAGCTCTTGTCAAGTACTTCTTGCAATTTCCGAATCAGATTCATAGTATTGAAGGATGAGAGATGATATTGAAGAAAAACAGAACATACATTAGAGATGCAGAGATAAGAGGAGTCCTCCTTGTGTCGAATATGGCAATCAGGCCATTGTACGCTTCATCCCCTGCTTTATACGACACGGCTAATCGTTCACAGGAAGCATCCCAGGCTACCTTATCAATCCCACTACTGCAACGTACGATAACACGCAGAAGTAGTGATGATAAAATTTTGAAAGCTAAGGTAATACTTCAGTAGCCTTTATCCTTACACAACTGAGAACCTCTCACAAACAGTCAATTGGGAGAAAATGCAGGTAATGATTGTGCTACGTGCCCTTAGAAGAACACACTGGAGTATAGCATAAGTCTAATGTTCCTAGCTTTACTAGGTCTAAGGAAACAGCATTCTTGTCAACAATACCTGCCAGTCAGTGACATTATCTCCGGCAACTCAACAGGTAACAGATGTGCATCTACAAGGAACAATTAAAAAGAAAATCAAGATTCTATTATGGAGTTACAGAGCCCAGTTTGATAACAAAAAGAAGGAAAGTATCACCGGATGTTCAAAATTCAAGTACTACAGATTCTAAGTTCACCATTTTTTAAAAAGGGAAAATTTTGGGTGGCCTTTTCCGGACAGAGACAACTCAGGATGAATTTAAATGGTCAAGCTTCATACCCAAAGAGGGAGGCTTCGATGCAAAGTGAACAGAGCCCAATGTTAAAGATCCAGAGAAACCAAGCAGTACTATACGGCCATCGCGATCCCATTGTGATCCCTGTGATTACAAGAATCAAAATCTCTAGGCTTAGTGCATTTAAACCATGAACAATTCAAAACCAGTGCTGATCAGATTTGAGCACAATCAGAAGAGAAATTCTAAAAATGAGATGGCACAAGGAAGAAGCATATTCACGAGAAACACCACAGAAATCCAGGAAAACGTAACAGGAGATAAATGTAAAGGGTTTCAGATGATGTAGCACATGTATAGGACGAGAGATCAAAACAATACACTTTAAATAAGGAAATGAACCTGTATGAGACTTCATGAAGATAAGATAAACTTAGCAGCATGTCAAAGGATCCAGTGCACTGATTTAACATTTATCTTACTATAATAGTAACAAGTCTCAAACTAAACAGAGCACCCGGAAAAAAAAAAAAGAGAAAACGAAGAGGGGCGAGGAGAAAGAGACAAGTTCCAGAAGGTATATATGAATTCGTTGTCAGACTCCTTGCACAGATTTTGTGGTCACATATGACATACAAAAGTAGGCTATGAAACCAAAAAGGAAATACTAGGTAACCAATTCCTGGCACAATATTCAGAAGCACAGACACAAGTAGCATAAGATTGATGATTCAATTGATTGTTGTCAACTAGATTTAGACTTTGATAATGCACTTACTGTCACAAACCCACTAGAAGAAGACCATTGTTCTGATGTCCAAGTGTTTGTCTCCCATAGATAAAATGTTCCATCACTAAAAAAAGATGATGATTAGAACATGGCTTGTGCAGTAGCATATATAGCGTAGATCAAAGCTTCATCTTGAAGCGGTGAACAGCAGGGAGTTACGACATACAATTTGGCGGAGAAAAAGCTATCTCCAGAAGGTGACCATTTGAGCATTGAAATACCACCTAATCCACGCCGAATAGGGGTCCCAGATCCTGCCAGTAATACCAGAACATAAAACAGACTCACCGATGTGATCAAAGAGGACGATTAAATGGAAATGCTTCTACAGAAAAGAAACAATCCCCGAGCCTTCTTTCCCACAAAAGCGTTAAAATATTGAAAATTAGATAAATAGATTTACTTCGACACTGAATGCACCTGACTGAATGTGCCAAACATCATCAGAATGAACCAACAATTTTCCAGCTAACATAGCACAGTAGACAAAACTAATTGATCACCCCAACTATCTTTGAGACATAAGAGTCCGTAAACAACTAAACGAGACAGAATAGTTTAGGTCCAAGGGTTTAACAATCTAGCAAGGCTTTAAGTTAAACGGTTCTGAAAACAACAGATGTCCATGCATGAACTCTGCATGCTTATGGGTGCACATGATATTATTTTGTACATAAACAATCACTGTCAACATACTGTATCCAAGAAGAGTTAGACTTTAGCTCTAGGTCATTACCTTGTGCAACATCCCAGATGGTGAATGCTGAGCTCTCATAAGAAGCAGATGCCAAAAATGTGAAGCATAGTCAAGGATACTTCTTCTAAAGAAGCCAATTGAGCAACATATACATATGACAGTCATGAATATCAGCTGTTAAATTATTAAAACAATCGATTTGTCCCATTATCTGACAAACTGATAAAGAAACAATCCATATACATAGAAAATAAGGCTGCAAGTTAAAGGGACATAAACACTAGAAAGAAATAGGATGGCTCTGAAGGATATCTTCCATCAGGGCTCCAAGAGAGTGAAGTAATGTGCTCATCATTGGAACTTCGAAGAAAATCAACCAGAGCCCATTGATACCCAGATCCTCCAGAAACAGTTGCCAGATATGATGTAACGCCAGCTCTGCCAACTGCAGCATTTCCTGGATATGATGCAGACCATATACAGATTCCACCCCTAAATTCAGTCCGATAAGTCAGAACTTCCATAAGCTATTGTCATCCACCCACAACATGACTTATTACATTGTAAAGTCTAAACACGGGAAGGAAATTTAGATACTTGCTTGCAAGCGATGGCAAGTGACTTTCCACCATTTGGCCTCCACTCCAAGACCTTAACGTCTCTCTGGGACTCGGAAATTAATATGCAATCCTTCCCTTCTGTGGAGACATCAAACATTAAGCGTGAAAAGTAACCTCAAGGGAAACCACATATATAGCCTTTTCTATGGAGAAAAGGTGGAACAAATAAAAAAGAAACTTACCCTTATCTTCATAATCACAAACCGTGACTTGGTTTTGGCCAGAAACAAATGCAATTATGTGCTTATGCTGATGCCAGGACACACCATGGAGACCAACTTCTGGTAACAAATTTACCTATGGAATTTTAATTCGAAAAGAAGAACAATTAAGTTCTCAAGCATTTTTTCCTCATATTCAAGAGACTTTTATCAACAGAAGCAAGCAAATCAACGTAAGTGGCACCCTAGGATAGCCCTTCTTTATGCTAACGTCAAGATATAGAAGAAGGCTCCATCTAGTCAACACATGAATCAATTTAGATACTTCACTCAAACAACCAAACCAAATATCGAAGCTTTCCGATGGTGCATTCCTTAATATTTTGCACGATGAAATAGCCACACTAACCTACATTCACTATCTCACGGATCATTCAGAACTAGTCTCTAACTGTTAGCTTCACAACCAGGCATAACCAACCTACTGAATCCTGAAACTCATCAAGATTCACCACCAGCCACACAGTGAAAAATAGTATCACAAACTCGATCAACTTCTAACATCCTAAAAAATTTATTAAGGAGCTAGCACGATTTCAGGTTGCTTACATAATTTGGCTGAAACATGTTGACAAAGCCCTGAAACGCCTTCCCGAGAATCTTCCGCCCAACGCTGTCTCCGTTACTTCTCCCCTGATGCTCTGATTCCTGCTCCACGTTGGGAGACGACACCAGCTGATCGGCTTGGAAAGGAACCGGACTGAACACCGCACCCTAAAACAACACACATTCAAGCTCAAAAACGAGAAACCGCGCGAAAGGAGAGGAGAGACTACGGAGATGGACAGCAGTACCAGGATCTTCCCGTAAGTCTCCCTGGCTCGCTCATCCGATAAACTCTCAGCCGCAACTGTGCGCCAAAAATGAAACCATAAACCAGTGAGCTTCGATTTCTGGATATCCTCCTAAAACCCTAAGATGGAGAATCGGAAAGGAATGATATACTTACTCAGTTGCCGATTGATCTCGCAAATCGTGACCGAGCCTGGCTGCGGAAAGGAAGGCATCGCCGGAGTCGGAGAACGCAAGACGCGGAGACGTGGTGATGGAGCTCGACGCGGAAGCAAAAATCGGCAACTGCGGCTTCTGCTGTTGGCGGGCGTTTTTGCGTTCACTGCGAAAATGTGACTGACCGACTGTTAACCCCTGCGCCTTTAATCATTTCCCCCCAAAATACCAGACAAAAAGTTCAACTTACCCCCTGAACTTTAGTCACTAGTTATATCAGTACACAAACTCTAAATCCATTATATTTCGCGGACAAATTAATAATTAGCATTTAGCAACAAAATTTGCACAGTCAATGACTGAAACAGAACTTTTACTTGTTCGAACATTTGCTGTGTGCCATGCCGCTTGAGAGAAGGCAGGGTTTTAGCCTCATCTTCTTCCGTCATTTGCCATGCCATCTGAAAACGAAAAAGAGAGCAGGGTTTTAGCCTTCTTTCTAAGCCATTTCTCTACTCTCAGTTGAAGGAGCTCTCTATTTCGCTACTTGATATTCGTTTACAGAAGAACTCTACGCCGTCTTCCGTTTTCTTCTCTGTAGACGTCAATTCGTCTCAATTTGGGGGCTTTGTTCGACTGACGATGATGCCACTACAGAACCCTGTGTCTCTCCCCCGCAAAACCCCGCTCTCTTTTCGTTTGGATGGAATTCCTCTTCCTCGCCTTTCAGTTCCTAAGCTCGCTCCAGCTTGCGCTAACCACGTACGGATAGCTGGACTCGCCGCATGTTCTTCTTCCGCTTCCCTGAACTCTAGTCGCTCAAGCCTGTTTATGGATTTGGGCTCTTCTGGAGTTGGAATTCGGCAGCTGGGCGTCGCTCGATTTCGAGTTTTGGCGGTTTCTGGTGGCGGGAGTGGAGGAGGATATGGTAGCGGAAACTCTGGCGGCGGCGGGGGTGGTGAAGGCGCCGATGCTGGCGGCTCTTCTCCCGGTGGAGATAACTGGTCTTTGCTTTCATGGTAACAAAAAGCTTACATTTTTATGGAGTTCCGGCTATTTGTCATGGGTTTTGTTTAATTGCTGGCCTAAAAAGAGAAAATTTTGCAGGTATTTGAGTCTTCTGGCCAAGTATCCTGTTCTTACCAAAGCTGTGACATCAGGAATTCTGAATTTCCTTGGAGATTTAATCTGTCAGGTAGATATCCATGTGATTTATTATTCGTTGCTTTGAAGGTATGGCAATGGCGATGTGACAGTTCTTTCCCATTTACTCAATCAGCTTATTATGTTTCTTTCGCTTGCCATCATCTCCTTCATGTGTAGTTTAGATGAGCATCTTGTTATCTAGAATCTGCTTGAAGAGCTGACTGAACAGTCAGTCTTTGGTATGCACAATAACAAGCATTTGATGTGCTGAAGATCACTGTATAAAGATGTCAATTAGACTAGCTTAGATAATCTGTTGATGTTGTTAGCATAATGTCCAGTTTGTGTATCATGAGACTTCAATGAGTCGACGATATTATCTTTACATGTTTTCTTGCTGTCCTCATCCCATCTTCTGAGTCTCTTATCATATCCATTTTTGGTGATATGACTTGTTATGAGCTAATAATCCGAAGCGAAGTTGATTGAGTTGTTATAAACTTCTACATACTACTTTCTTTCAGCTTGTGATTGATAAAGTTCCATCTCCAGACTTGAAGAGGACTTTCCTATTTGCCTTTCTGGGGCTGGTACTAGTTGGTCCCACTTTGCATTTCTGGTAACTTCTGGAATGCTTCTCTTATTTCCTATTTCCTCAGAGAACAAAGTAGATGATATTGTACCATTTGCTGAATTTAGTATAAGCTGAAAGTTCAGATTGCTAACTACGATTATTCGGTCAGATTATGCTTTAAATGTTTCTTACAGAATTCTCGGCCTAATCTGACCTTCCACCTCCCCTTGGTAGGTATTTGTGTCTGAGCAAGTTGGTGACGGTTCCTGGAGTAGCAGGTGCAATCATACGTCTCACACTTGACCAGGTTACTATTTCTCAGTTTTTTTTTTTTTCTTCCTTGAGCTTTGGTTACCAACCGCACTTGAAACCACATTGTATCTCACCATCCCTTCCTTGATTTGTTTTCGCAGTTCCTTTTCTCCCCGGTGTTCCTCGGTGTCTTCTTATCAGCATTGACTGTGCTTGAAGGAAAGCCGGCACAAGTTATGCCAAGGCTGCAACAGGTTCGCAGTCATGATCAGCTCCCTACATTATTCGGTTCCATGCCTATTACCTGGAGCAGCACGCAGACTATTCATTGAAACTGTTCCACTTTTCCCCTTTTTGTAGGAATGGTTCTCTTCTGTCATAGCAAATTGGCAACTGTGGATACCCTTTCAGTTTCTCAACTTCAGATTTGTGCCGCAGCAGTTTCAGGTATAATCAGTAGCTGCTTTCTAAATAGTAGTGCAGCATTCCCTTACAGTGTGCTCTGAACTTCAAACTGGTGCAGTATTGTTTTCAGCCTTGCTTCCTTCTTGATTATGCATAGTTCTGAAAAGACGCTGCTGCATCTCAGGAATATAATACTGATTTGCTTTGTATTTTCATCAGGTTCTCGCTGCAAATGTTATCGCCCTGGCGTGGAATGTGATACTCTCATTCAAAGCACACCGTGAGATTTTGGAGAAATAGCGGTCGATAGAGTTGTAGCATGATCGAGGCTCCGAGTATTGTACATTTTTGTTGCTGTAAAATGCTAGAAGGTGCGGGGGAAAAACTTTTAAAATAGTTGTTGTTGAGGCCTCGAGGGCATGTATCAGATCAGAGACTATTCTGGGTGAAGCCAGTTTGCTGCTTTCAATCAAACTCCAATCCACGCTACTTGAAGCAAGGTAGCAAACCGCAAAAACCATAGTAACACCCATTTCCTGAGAAAAGGAAAAAGCTTAAGAGTGTTCATTCCAAGAAACAGGAAAGAGTCCTTATCTATATAAAAAAAAAGAAACAGGAAAGAACTCCAAACTAGAAAAGCAGACCAACTTAAAGGAAACACCTTTGAAATCCAATCGGTTAAGCTTTTCGAGAGCAGTAACCCAATGTCGCATCAGTACGGCAATAGCCAACTTTCCCCAGAGTGCACTCGGACTCTTTCCACTATTAGTTCATAGTTCCGCATTCAAACTCTACTTGCCATACTTGTACAATGCTTCAATCTGGTCCGGATTGATATAAGCAGGTCGTCCTACTATGTCGTCATGGCATAATGATCATGCTAGAAGGAACGAAATGGGACCGAGACTGTTTGTGAATCACCACTTCGATATTGGAGTTTCTTGGCATTCTAGCTGCAAGCAATTAAGCAAGATAGGAATTGACAATACCTGGATATTTACACAGTTGTTGAGGGTAATGTGTTATGTAAGAAAAGACAATCCAGGGGAGAACCAGTTCACTCCTTCCAATCCAAACCTATTTGAAGCATTATTGAGAGAGAAAAAAAAAATACAGGAATCTTATTAACAACCATTCCTTGCGAAAAGAAAATCAAAATACCATTCGAGAATCACCCAACGACCAATGTGAACCAGTACAAACTTTTCACTAAAAAAAAAGCAGTACACTGCGGATCGAACAGCGACATGATCCTGCCTGAACAATTTGCAAAGCTAACTACTTTATGTAGTATCGACAAAAGAACACACAAGCCAACCGTTTCTTCTTGACAAAACTACAACCCGTAGAGAAAAAGTTACCATTGCGCGGCTCAGCTGGCTGTTTTCGACATAATACAGGACGACACCAACCTAAGGCAAGCCACATACTCCTAACCTGCAAAGGATTCGACAAAAACAGAATCCATGCACTCAGACCACTGGCCCTCAATCATTGAGAGCATTTGATTCACATCGCCTTCTGAGGCTCTTTCAAGTTTCAACTACTACCTGAACTCCCACTAACAGATGGAAAAAGGAAAATAACTAAAGCATCTTTCTTGCCCCTTTCCTTGAATACATAAGTGGACAAGGGGAAAGTGCACCCACCACCACAAGTGTACCCATATTCTTCATACACTCAGAGATGTCTTGATCCTGCCAATAACATGAACCCAAAAAGGAAAATATGAAAGAGAAACAAAAGGGAACCACAGATGAAACATGAAAGAAGAGGGAGATAGAGGGGAAACGACTACAGTAGTAAAAACTAAAAACTATGGTTACTAAATCTGTTCTAAAAATTTCCATCTTCCATGACCACCTTCCACAGCTTCTCGTTTAAATTATTACAAAGACAAGACTCAGAAGTACCGAGTCATAGCCAAGCCCCAGTAAGCATATTACAGTCGTGCCTGAGAACCAAAGCATCCAAAAGTTCAAAAGAGAGAAATAACTTCCTTCGGATCCCCAAAACCGCCTGTCATATGAAGCCCATAATTCCGTTATGAAGACAGAAACTTTCTACTGATCTATTTCCAGTTCCACCACCCCTGTACAGTTTCACCCCTTGTGGTGTCCTCACTCCTATCTCCCTGATAATCACCATTTCACAAATGATCGCAGCATTTACACATTGAACGATTGATGACAATAAAGGTCAATCAATGTCAAAACACAGTTTCCACAAAGTCAAACATTAGAACCGTTAATCAAGAACAGAACTCCTGTAGCAGCTGCTCTTCCCCCCACTCTCCCTGTCAGCCCATAATACCCCTGACAGGAACATTCTCACAAGTAACTGATCTAGTTTTAACTTCTGACTGATTCGGAACTTATGATTCCGCTAGAACCCGTATGTGTACTCAGTTCAGTCATAGAATTCCGCTGCTGTCCAAAATGTCTCAATAGATCCATCTGGTGTTCATTAGTATGGGGGAGGCAAGCACGCAGAAGCTCAACCGGCATTTCCCTCTTAGTCGCTCCACGTACATCTTCATCAATATCCTCTGTACCAGTTGGTGTTTTAGCATAGACTGACTGCAGAATAGTCTCATACTTCGCCAAACAATACTTAGTCAGCAGATCAAAGAACTCATCAAAGGACGCCTGCCAGAGAGCAAAGTTGGGCACCACCGGATGACAGCTGGCAGCCACCGCCTGAGAATCAATTAACAGTTTAGTTGCCCTCTCGAGGATAGATTTCAAAACAACCGAGGCTCCATCACCAGCCGGACTGCCAAGAGGCCGAAATGGTGGCTGTTCTGATGAGCAAACAACTGCAACAAGGCAAGAACTTAGTGCATGAAGATCCATGCTACTGATGCACGCACACACTGTCTTTGTCAGGTTCAAGCTTGTCTTGGCTGCTGCCGGGTCGGAGGGCACAGAACCAAACAAAAATCTGAGGTGTCGGAAAACCGCCATGCACACAATTCGGACGAGGTTGCTACCAGGGATTAGAAGCTGAAGGAACTTTGTGATGAGTTTTCTACCCTTGGGCAAAGCTACTAAACGCAAGAACACAAGATCATCCTTTGATGCAGGGCCAGCTGAAGTATTATTACCAGGGTTCTGACCGAGAGGATCTACGAGTTGAAGAGCTGTTGCCAAACTCTCGAGGAGAATCTGCCGCCGCCGCCTCAGCTGAACACCACCATCAGCCGGCTGATTAAACAGAAGGTACCGATCAATATCATCAACATCGATAAGCAGGGCCAACCCATCTTCAACTGTGACTCTAGCTGCAAGCATTGGTTCCTTCTCGAGAGGCGTGTCGGATATCTGTTCACTGCCATCTGTAGAAACAGGGCCTGCTTCGAGGAGAGGGCGGGGCCTACGTACAGTTGGTATGGGAATCTTCCCCATTGCATCCACATGATACGACTGCTGCTGTTCAGAGCTGCTATTGTTACGTGATCGAGAAGGAACCTCTTTCAGGTGAGATGGGCAGAAGTGATGCTTCGACTTTGACCCTCCTGTGGTAGATTTCTTGGAGAGGCGAGCTTGATGGTAGTAATCATCTACATAAGCGTCGTTGCCATGAGTAGCTGCATGCTGCATTTTCAGAATGCTCTCAATCTCTTCAGATGTCATGTATTTTGATCTGAACTGAATCGATGGACCACTGTCACTTCTCTGACTACCACCAGCATCCGAACCCTGATTTGAAGACCGAGAATTATGACGCCCTCTATGTGACTTATGCTTGTGCTCCCTACCATCCCCCAAACCGAGCATTAATTTATGAGCTGATGGATGCGAAGCATAGAGTTGAGACTGCAGTGCAGCAAAATGAGCCATGGATGGTTGAACCGTAGAGTGCAACCTGCTTTGGGGTGACAACAACTGTGGAGCCATGAGCCCATTCTGATGCTGAGACAGCTGTTGTTGCAAGACGCTCTGCAAAAGACTAGAATGGTCGACATGGTTTAGCAAGCCACCATGGTTGAGCCACTGCTTCTGAGGCCTGTTACTAAAAGAAAGGCCAGGAGATGTGATCTGCTGGGACATATTTCCAGCAAAGTGTGCCCCGGGATGTAAACCAGCCAAATGGAAGTTGGGGTTGGATAGTGGAGACATGTTTGGAGCAGAATATGGCAACTGCAACCCCCCTGAAGGAGAAGGAACACTATGGTACTGTTGTAGTGGCTGATCAATTCTGCCACCGGGTGGCGGAAAAGAAGTGAAATTTGATTTTGGAAAAGGAGCCGGTTCACTTGGGAAATGCTGCTGGTGTTGCTGTAGAGGATAGGAAGAAGTTCTGTGTAAGGGTTTTGATTCTGCGAAATGAATAGATGGCTGTGATGACCATCTCTTGTTTTCCTGAACGGTTTCTGTATCAAATATCTGCTGATCTAGCCAGTTGTTGCTGAATTCTCCATGTTGCTGCTGGGGATAAGAGGAAGTTCTGTACAAAGGTTTTGATTCTGATAGCCTAGCAGATAAAGGTTGAGTGAGGGATAAAGAAGACATCCTGCTGTCATGAAAACTTTCTGAATCATATCCATGTTGATCAAACCAGGAAGAAGATTCACTGTCTTGTGCCCATTCAGCGATCGATGAACCTGGATATTTTGAACAGGGATGGATAATCAACGACAATAGGCCAAGTTGGACCATCAGAAAAAACACATTAAATATTTATAAACTGATGAACACATACAGCAGGGAAGAAATTCAAGACTCATAGTAAACACTAGGAACTGAAAGCCATCTAGGATAAGTTGCAAGTTTCTGAAAGCTATGAGTCAGAGTCTATTCATGAGATCCATGTACAAGTTCATGGAGTTGACACCAGTACTGTTCTAGTAACTGTAAACTATTCAGATAAGAGTCCTGGCATTAGAGTCAATGGAAGCTAGAGATAACAACCGCCTACTCTAATCCTTACACCAACATCTACTGCACTATATCCATTCACACAGTGGGGGAAACTACCGAGTACAACATCATGACCAATCAGATATTCCAATCTATAGAGCTGCTAATGGAAGATGAATCAAAACGTAACAACATAAGCCCGAAATAGGTTCACTCACTTTCTCGGGAGAATGATCCTGATCCCCGATCACCAATCACTCCTGGGTTCCTTGGACCAGTAACTACTCGATTCAACTGTGCAAAAGAAACAAGATTCAGGTTAGGTAAAAAGACAAGAAAGAACAAAAACCATGACAGCAAAGGTCAACAACATTAAACTATCAAAAAAAAAAAATTGTTCCGACAATAATCAGCTGATATGGCCAATACCAAGCATACATAATACTGTTTGTAGATTGCATAACTTTCTCCTATTGTTTTGTAATAAATCCTAACAAGCAAGCATGATATAAGTACTTAAAACAGACCATCCATCCAAACACCTCAGAATCACATTCTCTGGACAGTAACACAAACATCCATCAACAACAGCATATAATATAACTACTGCCATCACAGAAATGGCAACTGATGCATTTTTTTACAGAAAACAAATCATTTCTTAAGAATCAGGAAGGAAAACAAACCACTAATTGCGTGACAATTATGCAAAAGAACAGGTCCAAAAGTGCTTGATGTAACTAAATACGATATACAGCCACACAAAAATTGCATCATTCCACAAGACTTAACAACATAACACAAGAGCAATAGACAAGCACAGTGCAAAATTAACAAATAAAAAGGGAGTTCGGGAAGTTACCTTCGCAAAGGTACTTGCCAAATCATCCATATCAGATAAGGATCCTAAGCTTGCCCCCTGGAGAAAGATAAGAACATGCACAATACTTATCAGAGAGATGGTTGTGAGAAGGAAAATTAAGACATTGATTAGATAGTGACTTGTTAAGGCAACATAAACAATCAAAAGTTTCCAGCATTACATATTTCTATCATATGCTTACAGAACCCGAACCAGAGAACTTGTTAAACCAGCTCTTACGCTGCAGCAGACAAAAGCAACCACCTCTAGACATCATCCTCCTAAGAACTGCTAAGAAAGTCTCTTAGTAACGGCATTTCCAGTGTTTGCATTAAGTACTCATACTTAGGCTTGATACAGTTTAAACTGCCGGCTTATGGTCCTAACAAATCTAGACTGGCACTGGTAGCCACTGTAAACCAGTTTGAGGAAAGACACCAACACTAAAGAAGTGATCCCCGTGAGTAGAACCGACCAAAAAGCTCTACAAAGGAAATATGATATCAGTGTACACAGGTCAAATAACTCAAACAAAAGAAGATTTTGGTTAAAGAGCCTATTAATAGCATAATATGCACCCTCAGCTCAAGAAAACAAATTTGACAAGCTGAAGGATATGCATATTACTACAGCAAGGTAACACTTGAGGGTCTTTCACATATACATGAAGAACATTGACATAGGTCATTAACTGTCAATAACCATCTTACTTCATCTCTATCAAACAAGCGGTATTCGTCACCGACAGATCCAAAGACAGGATTTTGATCTTCCAGACCACCCAACTCCACTCCATCCCCAGCATGTTGACCAAAAAACTCGTACTGTGATGCATCAAACTTCCCACCTGAATGACAGTCCAAATATAGATTTAATCAAACCTCAATAGTAATACATTTGACCTTCAAGGCAAGATGCTCATGCGAGTAAAATGAACTGGGACTTCGGCTTTGTTCAAAGGCAATACAGATGGAACTTCTGAGCAGTTCAAAGTTCATTTGTATTTAAGATACCCCATGTGCACCGCCAAAAAGAAGTTTATATGCCCATCAAGAGTTCAAAGAATTAAATCTAGATCATATGCCAACTAGAGAACTGTCGAGGCTGGTTGAAGATCCATGCCACAAAATTCATGAAGATAACAAACATCCAATGCAGACTTAAGAAAGGAAAGACCGCCAAAACTAAAAAGGTCCCTGTTAAATTACTCGAGACAACAAACAAGCTGTGCACACATGATCTAACACATTTGGGAGCTAATGTGCTAAACAGAACTAGTGTTCTTACACCTAGCCCCAATGTCACTCATAAATCTGTAATCTTTCCAAGCGTAACCTGATCAAGAAGCCACTTGTATGCCGAAATTTTCATACTTCCCCCAACTTCATCAGACTCCTCTCCCTCACTCACTGATTGCTCTCCAACATTACCACAAACAAGAACACCCACCAACAAATTCGAACACCAATCCAACGAAAACGAGTGAAGCAACAACAAAAGGGAAGCAAAATCGAGACACACCGGAGGAGGAAGACTCAGTAAAGTCCCTCGATGCAACATCTTTACCCGAAGCAGATCGCTCCATTCTCACAGAAACCCAAGCAGAAACTGAACACAGATAAGAAACCCTGGAGCCGAACTTCACCAAGGAGATGCAAAACGATAGAGGGAAGAAAGAAGCCCAGATTCGGAGCTACGATTCTCGAGTAGCAGCGATTGGATATGAAACCCTAGGAGAAAGAAGTAAAGAAGGAGCTGGAACGGAATCATGGATGGACATGGGAATTGGGAGGTTGCTCCTCCGTTGGTTTGGAGGAGGAAGGAAATGGGTAAGCTCAGATTTTTTTAGGGTTTTGTTATGGTTGGGAAGGAAAGTTTGTGGGGAAGATTTAAGCTTTGTTTCAATGGAGGACGGTGGGAGGACGGGGCCAAGTCCCTCTCTTTGCGAAGAGGGAAAGGGACAGAGCGTTACACAATCACAGAAAGTAAGAAAGAATAAGAAAGAGCGAATAAATTTTTGCTTTGTTTTTATTTCCAGGAGAGAAAAAAAAAAGATAGAGGATAGAAATATAAACCATTTTAAAATAAAACAAAGATCAAATTAGTAATTTTGTTAGCTTTTAAATTGGAATTAAAATTTGCAGTGTAATGGTAGATTTTCAAAATTTTGGGTGTAGTATGCTAACAGAGTAACTAAGTATTATTGGTCTAGTGATATTAGTGACAAAAACATGATTTTAAGGTTGTTTTGGAGCCTAATTTGTTAGTTATTCTCTTTTTATAAAATATATGAAAAATATAGATGTTGTTTAACGAGTTTAAAAAAAATCAATACAATCAAAGTTTGAAATCCTTATAGAGATTTGATGGAACTGGACGAGCCAACTACCTTAGTACTTGTTCTTGTCCAGTTTAGCGCATGTGAGGTCATGTCATTTTGATGCATTTATAGAGTGAGGCGAGTTGTTCCATTTCGACGCAACATTCGAAGAAACACATGTGCAACAATTGCTCGGCATTGCTCATGAAATGAATCAGAGCATTTGCGCCTCTTTCCAATTTACACCAATAGTACATTTCAACATGCATTTACAAGATTTCCTTTCTATGATATACCACATTGCACTCTACATCTCCACCATATTTATTTTTATCTCGAATACAATATTCGACAAACCTTGTGTAAATATCATGACATGTCATTGCGGCAACGTAAGTAATGTGTGCTATCATAAAAAAAAAGTTCATAGAACGCACAAATGAATAAATAAAGCGTTTTGACTTATTCTTGTCACTTACTCTACGTCTTTTATCGCAAATTAACCACTTATCTGAACAAGTAACTACCATCAAAGAGCACCATTGCTTTCTGCAGGGGACATAAACCATTAAACAAGAATTTTGGGTCATGCTCATAAATGTTAACTTTAAATATTTAGATGTTGCTCCAATTCCAAATAGGCTCAATGAGAACCCAAATCAAAGAAGAACTCAAGCTTTAGTCAGTTAGCCTGTCAGCCTATATAAAGATTGCCAAATTTCGGAAAGAGGGAAGTTCTTCTATGATTTCTTTCCAATTTTCAGATGAAGCATCCTCTCTCTCTATTACTCCAATCTCTAAAATCTCCTATTCGTCCAAAACAACTGTACTGGAAACGAATCAAAACGCATACTCAAAATATTGTTTTAAGTCAGATTTAACCTTCTTACCACGTATCGGGGGTTCGATCAGAAAACCTCATACCGGAAGCAAAATCGATAGGCTGTATTTTTTTTTATGAAACGATCGAACTATAATTAAATAAGAATTGCAGTATAAAATACCCTATCGCTCACTTTTACAATAAGATTTTCATTCTTTTGTTTTTACTTTAACACTTTATTTTTCTTCTTTTTAACTCCCAAGCTTGATGACTATAAACTTCTTTTGATAAATTGATTACTAGAAACTTTCAACAAACATGGCCTTGGAACTTGGAGATGTGACGAATTTCCATGATTTGTTCTTCCAACTTTATAAATCATGATTAATTAATTAATTATAATTATTGTAATAATTAATTAGTGGTTTGTTAAATGGGGAGCAGTGAATGAGAAGCAACAGGGAGCAGCATCTGACTGCGGCAGCAGCACACGGCGCACATGTGTGCCCGAGATGGGAGGAGCCCTCCAAATTTAATTATTATTCTTTTTTGGTCCCCCATTTCCCTTTTTCTTCTTATAATCTTTCCTTCCAAAGTCCCCATGGATTGCCACTAGGAAAGGCAATGGGTAGGGTCGGGTGCGGGTTTACCATATACCAACTCCTAACCCGTCGGGTAGAGCCTTCTAAAATACCCGATCAAATAACCACCGGGTATGAAAATTATATAACCATACCCTACCCACCGGGTAACCACGGGCATTCGGGTAACCATGAGTACGAATCATAAACTATGAACTTATACACATATATGCACGTACATACTGTTGTGTTGTCCATTAAAAATTCTCAATACTTGTAACTGTTCTAGCTTCAACAATCCACACAAATAAAAATAGCAAACACACAATAATTGTTTTTGCTTCTACAATCCACACAAACATAATAATCGTCTACATCTTCATCATCAATAATGGTAGTTAAACTCAATTTCTCAAGCTAATCTAAATTTCCCAAGGGAAATTGACCCTTTGGTTAGCGGGGCGGGTATAATGGGGAGGGTATTATCGATTACCATACCCGTACCCTACCCTTTATTTTGAAACCGGGTATTACCCGTACCCGCCCCTTAACCCGTCAAAGCGGGTAATTACCTCGTTGACCGGTTACGGTCGGGTAGGATACCCATGGTTACGGGTTGGATTGCCATCCCTAATTGCCACTTGTTTTGTTCACTCATTAATTAATTAAATTTCGACCCATTCGAAGTCATCGATCACATATAAGTACATCACATGGAATATATAAGATTCTCTTCTTCTATCATTTATTTGTTTGTGTATTTCATACGTTAGCAATTGGTTTATTAGATGCCAAATTGTAGGGTCAAATAGGCTCAATGTGTAACAATCTTTAATTCGAGAACTCATAACCTATATTATGTTTGAGTGATGGAAATACGAGTAAATGGTGTTCGATTCTCAAACTTACAACATTTGTTTGATTCGTGGTTGTTAATTCACAATAATGATGATTTCATTGCTATTAAGAGTTCGTCACATTCAAACTCATGTTTCATTTATTTGACAATCAATCAATTTTTAAGAGGCCTAGACATAGATTTAGCGAAAGTGAAGGCCTTGATGACTCCAAGAAATTAACTTCGTACTATTAACCTTACAGCTACATGCAATATCCTTACACATCTACGTTCTTTGGATATCTAACACCTTATTGCATTGAGTGAATCCGTCAACCTAGCTCGGTATTTTGACTTCATACTTCCACCCTTAAACTTATAGTTGCATATGAACATAACCCCCACATTCTTAATACACAAACTTGCCACATTGAGCGGATTCCATCAACCTAGCACCAAAGCAAAAAAAAAGTGACACCTCTCTCTACTCCCTCATGTTGAAGTGCACACCTTACACAATTTCAAAACAGATGGAGGCTAAATCGGCGGCTAGTTAAACTTTGATGACCAAAAATACAATTATTATATCCCAGAAGAGGTGAAACGGCACCGTATATGAATGATGAAATAAAAAAAATAAAAAAAGGAGACTTTCCTTCCACTCCCGCAAAAACAACTCGAAAGAACTCCATCTAACCGCCAGCGCCAAGCCGCAGAAACTCAAAAATCGCTTCATCCCACTTTCCCTTCTCCCTCCACTCCACGGCCATCATGGACGACGGTTAGTCGGAGTTTCCCGGCTCGTAAACCTCTCAACGATCCCTACTTGGTCGGATTCTTCATCGCCGACATACTGGTCTCCGTTACTACGATGGCAAAATTTCGATCAGAACTCTATCAGAGTGCTTAACATCAGGTCAATCCAAGTGGGTCACATCGAGAAGACGGGGTCCGCCGTTCTTGCGTCCTTGACCGACGTTGGGTGGATTTTCATTGAAGGCATCGTCTCCAGTCAGAAGGGTAACTTCAACGAGTTCAAGATTCCCTGTCACATCCACATTTTCGCCAGTGTTGAGAATTTCGAGTTGGTTAGGGCTTCGATTGATAGAGGTGGGTTCAGTTTGTTGTGTGATGGGAATTGTAGTTGTAGCTCTGGGTCGGTGATTGTGAAGGATGCGAAATCTTGGGCTATGGAGTTGGATGGAATATTCAAGCTGGTGGGTGAGAGAGAGAGGAGAAGAAAATGGGTGTAGGGAGTTTGTGAGGAATCTCAGAGATTCTCCTGTGGAGAAAGATTGAGTGGTGGACAGTTATCTTGGACGACGCAGATGTGATCAAGAATGAAAAGCTCAGCAAGGCCGAGCTGTGCTTAATTTGATGGCTATGCATAGATGGGCTGTTACTGGTAGACCTGTCCTGAATGGTCCTTCTCATATGTTTTCATTGATGGATTTCCTGCAGTTTGATCGGTTCTCCACTGAAAGGTACTGGAGAAGGCTAATACCAATGTCCCGTAGGTGCTGGGGCTAGGAATGGGCATGACTGCAGGAGTGCAGGTAACATCTCAATTTATTGTTCTTCGTCATGGCTCGAATTTGGATGCCATGATATACATAGATCAGTTGATTCTCATAATGGAAATCACCATTGTCCTTGAGCATTCTGTCACAGTGTAGAATAAATTCCAGAGCATTAAATCTATGATATACATAGATCAGCTGATTCTCATAATGCACCATTTATTTATTCTCATAATAGCTTGTTTTGAGATTTTCTCCTTTTTTTCAGCAGCAATTGAACTTTCAATCCCAATAGCCGAGTTTGAATTTGAAGGTCTTTATCAAAGGCTCCATTAACAATGATGTTCGCCATTTGATGATACAAGACTCGAGTAGCGAGGAAATCAACAAACTCATTGCCTCCATCAGTTGTTCAAGGCTATCTTCAACAAAGGGTAACGATTATCTGCGTAGCTTCATTGTGAGAAGGGGAGGTGGTATTGAACGCGATGTATATCCTCATTTGCGAGTCATAAGGTCGTTAGTCCTCTACGGTTGTGATCTGAAAGAAATCCTATCGACAATCAGCCACCTAATTCATTTGAGGCATTTGGATTTGTCCGGTAACATCAACTTGAGGGAGTTGCCAGAAGAAATATACGAGTTGTATAATCTAGAGACTCTGCTCCTCATTTACAATCGCAATTTGAAGATGCTTCCTAGTGGAATGGGGAATAAGCTAGTAAACTTAAAGCATCTTGAAAATTACTTGGTCTCTGCTGTGCTCCCCGAATCAATGACCAGGTTAGCTAATTCCCTAAAGACTTTACACCAATTTAATGTAGATCGAGACGAGGAAGAGGGAGGTACAAATATTGGGGATCTAGAGTGCATGAACCGTATTCAGGGATCCCTTACAATAAAAGGGTTAGGTAAGGTAACAAATTGTGAGGAGGTTAAGCGTGCACAGCTCATGTTTTTTTATCCAAGATAAGCCCCAGGGCATGGCCGAACAACAAATATATATGACCGACAATACTAAAGAACGGTAGCCCGTATTATTCCAGGTGTTAATGGCAACCTCTTTGTTTCGAAGAACCAAAGAGAAGACTTGAGTTGGTTGCCTCCTTAAGTGGTGGAGAAAAGGCTAAACTTGTTGTTCAAGGCTTCATCGACGACATACAACTATTCAGCCGTGCTTTGCTGCTGTTACCAGAGTTGTTTGTTTGTTTTGATGGCTTTGCATAGATGGGCTGTTGCTGGTAACCTGTCCATAATGCTCCTTCAAATATGTTTTCATTGATGGTCTTCCTGCACTTTGATCCGTTCTTTACTAAAAGCTACTGGAGAAGGCTAATACCAACGTCCTGTAGATGCTGGGGACAGGAATTGGCTGTCACTCACTACAGGTAACATCTCATTCCATTGCTTTGTTCATGTACTCCAATTTTGGATGCCAGAATATAGAGATAAGCTGATTCTCATAGTGGATTAAATCACCATTGCCCTCAAAACACAGACAGCCATTCCCTCAGTTCAGCAGATTGTTTTCTTACAGCCAGGATCAAGGCACTAAGCCTCTTGTTATTATAGTGAGTAATCATTTCTATTTATATTGATCTCTTTTTATTATAGTCAGTAATCATTTCTGTTTATATTGATCTCTTGTTATTATAGTAAGTAATCTTTTAGTCCCAGCTAGGATAAACGCATAAAGCTTCTATTTCAATTCTGTAGCAAATATTCCCCCAACACTATTGCAGGTCTACCTAACCAAACCACCCAATCAATAACCTGTAAATAAGAATATTAAATCAACCCAATAAGGCAATAACGACATGTACTGTAAGTGCCAAAAAAACATATAAAAATAATTTCCTCCCTCCACTAACAACATATTTGACCAAAATTAAAAGGGCCCAAAAGAGAACAACTTGCAGGCTGCAGCACTTTGTGACAAATTCATCGCAATTAGCGCTGAAATAGGATTAATTATTGACTTAATTATAATATTTGACTGCCGAGACCAAGCTGATGAAAACGAGTTCTCTTACATTCCTTTCCCAGCTACCCGTCCTAATTCGAGCAACGATAAATTTCTCAAAGCTTTGATTAATTGATACTGTCATTAGCTTCCACCATCATGGCTGCAGCCATTGTTTCCCAAGTTCAGAGCCAGCTGGTTTCATTCGCCACTGAAGAGGTTAAGAAACGTGGGAAGCTTGTCATAGACGCAGAGAAAGATGTCCAGAAGCTCATATCCACTTTCACCGCCATCGAAGCTCTGCTGTTGGATGCAGAGGAGAAGCAATTGAAGAACGAAAGCATCCGAGACTGGCTGAAGAAGCTCAAGGACGTGTCCTGTGAGATCGATGATGTGCTGGATGAGTGGAGAACCGAGGTCCTCAAGCGTCGGCTCGAGGGAGATGATGATGCTGCCGGCGGCTGTTTGGAGTTGAAGCTGATTCAGATCGCTGATGTTCTGAAACGAGTATGCCCTTTTCTCCCTACTTATTGTTTCTCCATTGACGAAATTGGTCTTCGTTATGATATTGGCTCGAGGATAAAAGATTTGAATGAACGTCTAGAAGATATAGATAAGGAGAAAAAATGGCACAATTTAACTCCCAAGAAGACGGCTTCATACTCAAGTATGCCAACTAGTTCCGTTATCGATTTCTCTAGCATGAAAGTCAGACTAGGGGAGTTCAAAATATTGCAGGGCAAGTTATTGGATGATGGAAATGATCAATTGGGTGTGAGAAGTATCTCTATCCAAGGCCTCGGTGGATTTGGGAAGACCACATTGGCCAAAATGCTATACAATGATAAGAAAGTGGAGGATCATTTCAGCAAAAGGGTATGGGTCTGTGTTTCTGCGAATTTTGTTCAAGAAACAGTCGCGAAAGCCATACTTGAATCTTTCAACCAATCTGCTCCAAAAGACAGTTCATTATCATACATGTTGGAACAGATCAAGTCGCTTATGGAGGTCAAGAAGTTTCTTCTAGTTCTTGATGATGTGTGGGAAGATAGTCGAAGCAAGTGGGAAGAACTAATAAGTTCCGTTTCTCACGGATTACCTGGAAGCAAAATATTGGTGACTACACGAAAAGAGGGTGTTTCTCACGTGTTTCGTTGTATCAAGAAAGATATTTTTCCTTTACCAAATATATCTGATGGTGAATGTCTGACTATTTTCACACAAATTGCATTTTATGGATGGAGCGACGAGGAGAGAGAACGTGTAGAAGATCTATGTGAGAGAGTAGTAGAAAAGTGTTCTGGTTCACCCCTTGCAGCAAAAGTTTTGGGAGGGGTACTACATGTGAAAAAGTCTAAAAGGGACGGGATTCAGCTTTTGGGAAGTGAAATGTGGCAGATAGAGAAAGGTCGAGATGAAGTTCTTGCTCCTCTAGCTTTGAGTTACTATGATTTGCCTCCGACGCTCAGACAATGCTTTCAGTTCTGTTCAGTATTTCCTCAGGATTACGAAATGGAGAAGGAAGAACTGATTAAGTTGTGGATATCACAGGGTTTTCTCAAAGCAACAACGAACCAAGATATGGAGAAGGTTGGTGAAGAGTACTTTCAAATTTTGGTCACGCGCTCATTGTTACAAGACGTGGAAAATGAGTGGCAGTTGGGCGAGGAAAGAACATTATGCAAGATGCATGATTTGGTTCATGATTTTGCTCGACTCACAACTAAGAACGAATGCATCAGCATCCTGAAGCAAGATAGCTCACTACTCTTGATCATCAATGAGGTTCGTCATTTGATGGTAAACGACTTGAGTAGCGAGGAAATCAACAAACTCATTTCCTCAATCATTTCTTCACGCATCTCTTCAACAAAGCGCAATCATTATCTGCGTAGCTTCACAGTGAGAAATGGAAGTGCTATTGAACCTGAAGTATATGCTCATTTGCGAGGTATAAGATCGTTAATCCTCAATTATTGTGATCTGGAAGAAATCCCGTCGACAATCAACCAACTGATTCATTTGAGACATTTGGATTTGTCCAGTAACCGACACTTGATGGATTTGCCGGAAGAAATATGCGAGTTGTATAATCTTGAGAGTCTGCTCCTCAATCACAACGAGAATTTGCGGATGTTCCCCAGTGGAATGGGGAATAAGCTAGTCAACTTAAAGCATCTTGAAAATTACGAGGTGCCAGCGGTGCTCCCAAAATCAATGACCAGGTTAGGTAATTCCCTAAAGAAATTAACCACATTCAATGTAGTTTACGACCAGGAGGCTGATACAGAGGGAGCTACTAATATTGGGGATCTAGAGTGCATGAATCAAATTCAAGGATCCCTTACAATTACAAGGTTAAGTAAAGTAACAAACTGTGAGGAGGTGGAGCGTGCAGAGCTCGCCAAAAAAGAATCTCTGACTCGTTTAAGTCTGGAATTCGACTCCAGTGAATATGGAGACAGCGACAAGGAAGAACAAGTGCTCGAAGCCATAACACCACCATCAAGCTTGGAAAGACTATACATAGGAGAGTACAGGGGAGGAAGCATATTCCCTAGCTGGTTACTGTCACTCTCCAACTTAACATCCCTAGAATTTCATGGGTGCCATGAAGTGGAGCATCTGCCCCCGTTTGGCGCCCTGCCATCCCTCGAAGAGCTTCGCCTGGGTAACATGTTTTACGTGAACAAGGTTGGCCTTGAGTTCTTGCTGGGGACTAGTGTGATACAGCAGCTGCGGATGGGTAACAATGAAGGTGATATTATTGCGTTCCCTAAGCTCACGCGGCTTGGTTTTTCGCGGATGGAGAATTGGGAAGTGTGGGATTTAGAGCGTGATGATCAGGAAGGAATGATCAGCTTGAAAACAGTCATGCCCCGCCTGCGTTCTTTAGAGTTGGAATGGTGCGAGAAGCTCGAGAAGTTGCCGGATGTGCTACTCCGGAAAATAACTCTGCAGGAACTGATAATAAACGACAGTGGCGGGTTGGGGAGTTACAGGTTCGACCCCAGGGATCCCAAAATGATGCCGAATGACGTCTGGGACAAAATTTCTCACATCCCCACCATTTTGCTCGATTACGAGGACATCCGCAAGACATTCGAGAGCGAGATAGGTAATTAAATTACATGTTAGCTAGCTGCTAAGCTGTACTGTTGGTTCCCAATTCATCAAGTACTTGAACAGCATCATTACATGTTTGCATAATAATATATTATGTGAATTTGGATAGATAAATGACTTTCTTGTTCCGCAATTAATATTGCATCATGAAATGACAGAATCCATGTCGAGAATCGGCTGCTCTTACAGCAAACCGGAAGAGGAAGAAGCAGGAGATGATGATGATGACCACCATGACGACGAAAAACGGTAATGAAAGTTGATTCACTGCTCCCTGCTTCTTGTCTTTCGATGGTGATAATGTTAGCTCATTCATTAATACGTTTGTTTGCCTTCTGCAGTTTGATGTGAGCATGAGCAACGCACTCGTTCTTCGGCCGATCGCCTCCCCTGGGTCCAACCATTTCGCCCATCTCCGCCAATAGTGCCTTGTGACCTGCACCAGGGTGCCCTTCATTTACCATTTTATAGCGCAGCTTTCAGTTTGCGCTTGAAACTACCATAACATTTGCTTGAACAGTTTACAACAACAGTAAGAGTTTGCAAACAGAACCTCTCTCTGGAGGAGGAAGTCTGTATGTTGTACGCTGTGTTTTGTGTCCGTGTGCTTTCTGGAGTTTTGCCAAAACTGCCTATTTATTTAGTGGCATAACAAATTCTCTTTCTTCGTCAGTAGCATCCTGCGTGCATGTTTTCAGAACAGGAATCATCATCTTTTGAATTTGATAGCGGCAGCCATTAATGTATTGCGTCCGATGTAATTGTGAAAATACGTTATTAAGTATTATCTAATATCTGTATTTGTCAAAATGTAGCAACATATTAGACTAATTTGATGGCTTTGCAGAGATGGACTGTTACTGGTACATTACACCTGTCCAGAATGATCCTCTTCTGATATATATGTTTTCATTCATGGCGTTCCTGCGGTTAAATCCATTCACGACTAAAAGCACTGGAGAAGGCTGTCACTCATTGCAGGTAACCTCTCATTTCACTGCTCTGTTCATGTGCTCGATTCTTGTTGTTGTTGAAGAAGAAGGTGAGTGAATTTCATTATAGAACAGGCTTCTGACTTACAACATCGTTGCAGAATTACAGATAGAAGGATAGTTATCATAATCTAGCCGGAACAATACCCAAACGACGTGGCCATATGAGCGCGTCGTCAAGTCCCATTCTGCCATAGAAATGCAACCACTTTGGACCTGAAATGGATTTTCCATCAAGTTTGTGGTGCAACTCGGCAAGGCTGGCACAATAGCGAGCCCCACTCCACTCTGCAGCCTCTCAAGTCCCCACCACAAAATATCCACCAAGTCCACGGGCACAAGTCTTCCTCAATTCCAAGGAGTAATTTGTTCTTCTTCTTCTTCTTCTTCTTCTATCTCTTTTGTACGCCACATGCTGCTTATCTATCCACCAAACAATTCTTTAGACCTTTCCTCCCTCCCTCCTTTCCCAGCTAGCTTCCATCTAGATCATCGATTTTTCCCCTCATAGCTGAGATTGCTTGGTACTCTTGATTAGCTTCCCATCATCATGGCTGAAGCCATTGTTTCCGAAGTCCTGGTCCAGCTGGGTTCAGTCCTCACGGGAGAGCTCAATCAACATGTGAGGCTTGTCCGAGACGCAGAGAAAGATGTCGAGAAGCTCACTTCTACTTTCACCGCCATTGAAAGACTGCTGCTGGATGCAGAAGAGAGGCAGCTGAAGGACGAAGGCATCCGAGCCTGGTTGAAGAAGCTCAAGGACGTCTCCTACGAGATCGATGATGTGCTGGACGAGTGGAGAACCAAGATCCTCAAGCGTCAACTCAAGGCAGACGGCAGAGATCAGTTGAAGTTGTTTCGGATCTCCGGTGTTCTAAAACGAGTATGCTCTCTTCTTCCTACTTACTGTCGCTCTGCGGGTAAAATTTGTCTTCGTTATGATATCGCCTCGAAGATAAAAAGTTTGAATGAGCGTCTGGATGATATAGATAAGGAGAAAAATAGGTACAATTTTACTCCCAGGGAGAAGTCTTCATACACAAGTTTGCAGACCAGTCCCAATATCAATTTGTCCGAGGTGAAAGGCAGAGAAGAAGAGTTAAGAATATTGAAGGACAAGTTATTGGATGATGAAGGTGTCAAAAGCATATCTATCCAAGGTCCCGGAGGGTTTGGGAAGACCACATTGGCCAAAATGATATACAATGATAAGGCGGTGGAAGCTCATTTCGACAAAAGAGCATGGGTCTGTGTGTCCAACAATTTTGATCAAGCAACCGTTGCTAAAGCCATACTCGAGTGTTTCAATCAATCTACTTCAGATAGCAGTTCACTATCGCACATGTTGGAACGTATAAACGCACATACGATGGACAAGAAGTTTCTTCTAGTTCTTGATGATGTTTGGGAAGATAGTCGGAGCCAATGGGGAGAACTAATAACTTCTGTTTCTCACGGATTACCTGGAAGCAAGATTTTGGTGACTACAAGAAAGGAGGAGGTTTCCCGGGTTTTCAACTGTATGGACGACAATATTTTACGTGTGCAAAAGATGTCCGAGGATGCATGTCGAGCTATTTTCACGAAAATTGCATTTTATGGATGGAAGGCGGAGGAGAGAGAACATGTAGAAGAACTGTGTGAAAGAGCGGTAGAAAAGTGTTTGGGTTCACCCCTTGCCGCAAAAGTTTTGGGAGGGGTTCTACATGTGAAAAAATCTAAAAGAGACTGGATTCAGCTTCTGAGGAGTGAAATGTGGCAGATAGAGAAAGGCAGAGATGAAGTTCTTGCTCCTCTAGCTTTGAGTTACTATGATTTGCCTCCAGCGCTTAGACAGTGCTTTCAGTTCTGTTCTGTATTTCCGCAAGATTATGAAATGGAGAAGGACGAACTGATTAAGTTGTGGATGTCACAGGGTTTCCTCAAGGCAACAACGAACCAGGATATGGAGGAAGTTGGTGAAGAGTACTTTCAAATGTTAGTTATGCGATCATTCTTCCAAGATTTGGTAATGAGATCGGGTTGGAATAAGGAAATTTTCTCTTGCAAAATGCATGATTTGGTTCATGATTTTGCGCGGCTCACAACCAAGAACGAGTGCATCAACATCCAGAAGCAACATCTAAATAGTTCATTACCCTTGATCGACAATGAGGTTCGTCATTTTATGGTAAAAGGCCTGAGTAGCGAGGAAGTTACAAAACTGATTGCGTCCATTGGATGTTCGCGCCTCTCTTTAACAAGTCGTAATAATTATCTACGGAGCTTCATAGCAAGAAGTGGAGGTGGCATCGAACCTGATGCATATGCTCATCTGCGAGGCATAAGGTCGTTGGTACTCCATTGGTGTGACCTGAAAGAAATCCCATCGACAATCAGCCAACTAATGCATTTGAGACATTTGGATTTGTCTTTTAACATGGAGTTGAAGGAGTTGCCGGAGGAAATATGCGAGTTGTATAATCTAGAGACTCTGCTCCTCAATCACAACGAGAATTTGCAGAAGCTCCCTAGTGGAATGGGAAATAAGCTGGTGAACTTAAAGCATCTCGAAAATCGAGAGGTCCCAGGGGTGCTGCCCAGATCAATGGTCAGGTTGGCTAATTCCCTAAAGACATTAACCCAATTTAATGTAGTGAAGCTGCAGGATAAGGAGGTAGGTACCAATATTGGTGATCTAGAGTGCATCAACCATATCCAGGGATCCCTTAGAATAAGCGGGTTAAGTAAGGTAGCGAATTACGAGGAGGTGAAGCGTGCACAGCTCGCCAAAAAAGAATCTTTGACTTGTTTAGAGCTGCAATTCCACGGAGAGGGAGACTACTATGTCTATGAGGAAGAACAAGTGTTGGAAGCCATAAGTCCATCATCAAGCTTGGAAAGGCTTCATGTACTAGACTACAATGGAGGAAGCATATTCCCTACCTGGTTAATGTCACTGTCCAACTTAACATCCCTCGAATTCAATGGGTGCAATCAAGTGGAGCATCTTCCCCCTTTGGGCGTCCTGCCCTCCCTCGCAGAGCTTCGCTTGTTTGGCATGAAGAAAGTGAACAAGGTTGGGGTTGAGTTCTTGTGGGAGACTAGTACTGTGATACAGCAGCAGCTGCAGAAGAAGATGGGTAACGACAACAAAGGCCGTGATATTATTACTGCATTCCCCAAGCTCACGCGACTTTCTTTTGGGGATATGAGTGATTGGCAAGTGTGGGATTTAGAGTGCGATGATGAGGAAGCCGGAATGTTGATCAGCTCGACCACAGTCATGCCCCGCCTGCGTCATTTGAAGCTGTTATGGTGCGGGAAGCTGGAGAAGGTGCCGGATGTGCTTCTCCGGAAAGCCACTCTGGAGCGGCTGGAAATATACAACAGTGGTGGGCTGGGGAATTACAAGTTCAACGTTGAGGATCCCAAAATGGTGCCGGATGAGGTGTGGGACACAATCTCTCACATCCCCACCATTAGCCTCGAAGGAGTGGACATCCGAACAAGATTCAAGAGCCAGATAGGTAATGAAATTCCATGCCCAGTACCTACCTAACCTAGCTGCTAAGTAGTAGATTATATACTATCATTACCATACATTTTTTATTTATATATAAAAGCAGATCAAGTTAAAATTATTATATTTTTATTAAAAATAGAGAGGGTATTAAATGTGTTTTATCTCTTTTTTTTCCGTTTGTAACGGGATACTATTCCCAAAGTTTTTTCCATGTCCTACACGTAAAAGTTATCATAAGCTCTTTTTCTCCTACTATCTAGGTAACGTTTCATATTTTAGTTCATATATTATTAAATACAATTTATATATTATCACCTGCAATATTAACAATCTCATCAAGCATTACGCAAAGGTTCCGCAAGATATATGTTAATTTTACGTAGTAATTTAATAAAATGCGAGACTTATCCGTAACTTGATTTTATTATCAGACCACATAGTATTACAGAAATTATCATTGAATATACTCTTTTAAATTACTTTGTAAATTAAACGATTTTTGACTAAATTACTAAAATGAGTGGAGGAAGTTTTAATACAGAATTGGTTTCTTCCCATCCGAAGCACGGTACCTATACCTTGTTAGTTTGGATATATGAATGAGTTTCTCGTTCCGCATAATTACTATTGCATCGTGAAATGGCAGATGCCATGTCGGGAATCGGCTGCTCTAACAGCAAACCGAAGGAGGAAGATGCAGGACATCATGATGATGATGACGACGACCATCACGATGAAGAAATACGGTAATTAAAGTTTGATTCAGTAGTGCTCTCTGCTTCTTCTTGTCTCTCAATCCCCGCCCCATCCTCTCCTCCCTCTTTCAGTGGTGACAATGTCAGCTTCAATTCGCTATTATGTTTGTTCGACAGTTGCCGCTCAGAGTGAGCAGAGCAAGAGCAACGCCTTCATTCGTTCTTCCGGCCAATCACCTCCCCTCTATCGGTCCAACCAATCCGCCCATATATCTCCGCTAGCAGCTGCCACCCGCACCCTGCTGCCGTTCATTTACCATTTTACAGCTACCAAAGTTATCGGATTGGCGCTTCAAACTCTGATAACATTTGCTTGAATCGTTTACGACAACAATAACAGTTTGCAAACAGGACCTCTGTCTGCTCTGTTGTGTGCGTGTGTGTTTGTTTGTGTTGTGTCGTTGTGCTGTTGGGAGAGTATGTTACCAGAGCTGCTCATCTAGTGGCATAACAAACTCTCTCGTTTCTTTGTCGGTAGCATGCTACCCTATGTATCGTTGTTAAGCGTCTTGTTAATTTCTCTTTTCTATTTGTATTTGCCCTCTTGGCCTTAAGTTGGGGGAGAACAGAAGAAACAGAGACTTAATTTGTGCCTGTACTATTTGCCAATAAATTGATCAATGTTAGCCTGCGTGCATGTTCAGAGACACAGGAACCATCATCTGTTGAATTTGGTAGCGACAGCAGCCATAAATATATTTGGTTCGGTGTATTTGTGAAACGTATGCTATTTGTTTCAATTGCATGTTATTATGTAATACGTATTAAGGCATTCGGAGCAGGGATCAACCTGACACGGTTGTATCAAATTAAAGAGTGTACTTGCAGGAGCCATGGTGTCACCCTGCAGTTGAGGAACAGGCGATGGACCGACCGATTTCATCACATTGGGCAGAGGAAGGAGGTTGAGGCAATGAGGCTGATTGCTAGGAGTGCCATTGAAGAGGAAGCATGGATGATATCAAGTAGCAGCAGAGCAGGATTCCTGGGTTTCTAGTTGTCTTATTTTCTTGCCGCGCCTTCTGTTTAGGAAAGAAGTAGATTTTGGGTTTTTTCCCTCTTTATGGAGGTGTGGATTGCAGATGGGCTTTTGTTTTTTGGGCTCGTTCCCAATATTAACATTGGCCCAAGATTAGCAGAAAAGTATTGTATTTGCGTATACAATAATCTAATCTACAACCCAATCATCAAAATATTAACTCTTCTTTCTTTATTTATTTGTTGGTTTTTTTTTCCAAAGATATTCTTATCGGGGAATAGTTAGATTTGAATTGAAAAACCTTTTTAGACAACAGTAATAATACATATAAGAGAAATGGACGGCGATCAACGATTAGTTGAATTATCGAAAAGAGAACATTTTTTCGTCATGCAACGAGCATCTTTTTGATACATATACGGAATGAACAATATCTATGACTTTTACCATACAATAGTGAAAATTTTGGAACTAACCATACTGAAGCATAGAAGCAAATCATTGCTACTAATCAGGGAAATCCTTGAAAATATAATCTCTGCTCCTTTTCGGCATGAGACTAATCACATTAATGTTGATGAAACTAATTGCATTTTCAGTCTCATCATTTTTAACAAACAAGAAAATAATTTATTTCTTGGTTGAATTATGTTATCTTTTATTAATTATGTAGCAAATATTTTGGAAAAAATCCCAAAGTACACTAGTTTTTAAAAAAATTTCCCAAAATACATAAGTTATAAAAAAAAATCCAAAAGTACACATGTTTGAGCATCACCGTTTTAGACAAAAACGGTGAAGGTCATCACCGCTTTTGACCAAGACGGTGAATACTTCACCGTTTCAAACTAAAACGGTGAAGGGTTCACCGCGTTTGTTAAGAACGGTGAATACTTCACCGTTTTAAACAAAAACGGTGAAGTATTCATTTGAATTCCAAGTATTTTGATAACTCTAAATGGTTCTCCTCGTCGATACGATCGCGCTGCCGAAAACGGCTCGTTATTTCGACCTCAAACGAATAAGATACGCGCGTTTTAGTTTTTAGTACGCAAAAGTTACTTTAACGACATGTGCAGCTTTGAACTCACTTATCTCACTCGTTTGGACTCGGAATTGAGATCTGTAAAATTCTATGTGATCGTGGTTGATTTTCCCAACTTTTTTGTGTTGAGGGAAGATAATGATTCTTGATAAAATGATCCAGAATATTCATTCGACAACTTAAGTGCGTAGGATAGTTTTTAGACCATGCAAACTCAAATAACAACACCTAAAAATCACAAAAACAACATTGATAGTTCACTACAATGATAAAACGATAAATTCACTCATTTACTTCATTTTGGCCCCCATCTCCACCTCTTCCTCCTCGTCCTCCACGAGTTTGTTGTTGCGGATGTTGGAATTGAGAGAACTCATGATGTAACAACATCATGGGTTCTCTCAATTCCAACATCCGCAACAACAAACTCCGAACCCCCCGATCATTCGTCAAGCTACCGGTCCAACTCAGCCACCACCACCACCATATGTAACCCCAGTTGGGAATTTTTTTTAAGAACGTGTGTACTTTGGGATTTTTTCCTAAAAACTATCCTACGCACTTAAGTTGTCGAATGAATATTCTAGATCATTTTATCAAGAATCATTATCTTCCCTCAACACAAAAAGGTTGGGAAAATCAACCACGATCACATAGAATTTTACAGATCTCAATTCCGAGTCCAAACGAGTGAGATAAGTGAGTTCAAAGCTGCACATGTCGTTAAAGTAACTTTTGCGTACTAAAAACTAAAACGCGCGTATCTTATTCGTTTGAGGTCGAAATGACGAGCCGTTTTCGGCAGCGCGATCGTATCGACGAGGAGAACCATTTAGAGTTATCAAAATACTTGGAATTCAAATGAAGGCTTCACCGTTTTTGTTTAAAACGGTGAAGTATTCACCGTTCTTAACAAACGCGGTGAACCCTTCACCGTTTTAGTTTGAAACGGTGAAGTATTCATCGTCTTGGTCAAAAGCGGTGATGACCTTCACCGTTTTTGTCTAAAACGGTGATGCTCAAACATGTGTACTTTTGGAATTTTTTTTATAACTTATGTATTTTGGGAAATTTTTTTAAAAACTAGTGTACTTTGGGATTTTTTCCAAATATTTTCCCCCTCTTAATCACTAAATAATATAACTAAACTACACTGTGAGAGGAAGGTCTACCTAACCAAACCAAACTAAACACCCAATCAATAGCCTGTAAATAAGAATATTAAACCAACCCAAAAAATATATATATAATTAATTTCCTCCCTCCACTAACAACATAGTTGACAAAATTTAAAGGCCCCAAAACAGAACAAGTTGCAGGCGCCAGTACTTAGTGACAAATGCATCGCAATTAACGCTGAAATATGATTAATTATTGACTTAATTATAATAATGAGACCGACGAGACCATACTAAAACTGATGAAAACGGTTCTTTTACATTCCTCTCCCAGCTTCCCGTCCTAATTCGAGCAACGATGAATCGATACTGTCATTAGGTTCCACCATCATGGCTGCAGCCCTTGTTTCCCAGGTCCAGAAAGAGCTGGTTGACTTCGCCATTAAAGAGATTAAGCAACACGGGAAGCTTGTGATAGACACAGAGAGAGACATCGAGAAGCTCATATCCACTTTCACAGCCATCGGAGCTCTGCTGCTGGATGCAGAGGAGAAGGAATTGAAGAATGAAAGCATCCGAGACTGGCTGAAGAAGCTCAAGGACGTGTCCTATGAGATCGATGATGTGCTGGACGAGTGGAAAACCGACATCCTCAAGCGTCAACTCGACGGGGACGATAATGATGCTGCCGACGGTGGCTGTTTGGAGGTGAAGCTGCTTCAGATCTCTGATGTTCTGAAACGAGTATGCCCTTTTCTCCCTACTTATTGTTTCTCTCCTAACGAAATTGGTCTTCGTCATGATATTGGCTCGAGGATGAAAACATTGAATGAACGTCTAGACGATATAGACAAGGAGAAAAAATTTCACCATTTAACTTCCAAGCAGACAACTTCATACTCAAGTTTGCCAACTAGTTCTGTTATCGATTCCTCTGACTTGAAAGTCAGACAAGGAGAGTTCTTACTATTGCAGAGCAAGTTATTGGATGATGGAAATAATCAATTGGGTGTGAGAAGTATCTCTATCCAAGGCCTCGGTGGGTTTGGGAAGACCACATTGGCCAAAATGTTATACAATGATAAGAAAGTGGAAGATCATTTCAGCAAAAGGGTATGGGTTTGTGTCTCTACTGATTTTGTTCAAGAAACCGTCGCGAAAGCCATACTTGAATCTTTCAATCAATCTGCTCCAAAAGACAGTTCATTATCATACATGTTGGAACGTATCAAGTCTCTTATGGAGGTCAAGAAGTTCCTTCTAGTTCTTGATGATGTGTGGGAAGATAGTGAAAGCAAGGGGAAAGAACTCATAAGTTCTGTTTCTCACGGATTACCAGGAAGCAAAATCTTGGTGACTACAAGAAAAGTGGAAGTTTCTCACGTGTTTCGTTGTATCAACAAAGACATTTTGCCTCTACAAAAGATATCTGATGGTGAATGTCGAGCTATTTTCACACAAGTTGCATTTTATGGATGGAGCGATGAGGAGAGAGAACGTGTGGAAGATCTTTGTGGGAGAGTGATAGAAAAGTGTTCTGGTTCACCGCTTGCAGCAAAAGTTTTGGGAGGGGTACTACATGTGAAAAGGTATAAAAGGGAATGGATTAAGCTTCTGGGAAGTGAAATGTGGCAGATAGAGAAAGGCAGAGACGAAGTTCTTGCTCCTCTAGCTTTGAGTTACTATGATTTGCCTCCGACGGTTAGACAGTGCTTTCAGTTTTGTTCTGTATTTCCGCAGGATTCCATAATGATGAAGGAGGAACTGATTAAGTTGTGGATGTCACAAGGTTTTCTGAAAGCAACAACGAAGCAAGATATGGAGGAGGTCGGTGAAGAGTACTTTCAAATGTTAGTTATGCGGTCATTCTTTCAAGATGTGGAGAAGGGGTGGAAGTTGGGCGAGGAAAGAACATTATGCAAGATGCATGATTTGGTTCATGATTTTGCCCGACTCACAACCAATGAGGTTCGTCATTTGATGGTAGAATACTCGAGTAGCGAGGGAATCAACAACCTCATTTCCTCCGTTTCTTCGCACCTCTCTCCAACAAAGCACAATAATTATCTGCGTAGTTTCACAATGAGAAATGGAAGTGCTATTGGACCTGATGTATATGCTTGTTTGAGAGGCATAAGATCGTTAATCCTCTATTCTTGTTATCTGATAGAAATACCATCGACAATCGCCCAACTGATCCATTTGAGACATTTGGACTTGTCCAGCAACCAATACTTGACGGAATTGGCAGAAGAAATATGCGAGTTGTATAATCTCGAGACTCTGCTCCTCAACTACAACCGGAATTTGCAGATGCTCCCCAACGGAATGGGGAATAAGCTAGTGAACTTAAAGCATCTTGAAAATCACATGGTGCCAGCGGTGCTCCCACGATCGATGGCCAGGTTAGGTAATTCCTTGAAGACATTAACCACATTTACTGTAGAGGCTGATAGCGAGGGAGCTACTAATGTTGGGGATCTAGAGTGCATGAACCGAATTCAGGGATTCCTTAGAATAGCAGGGTTGGGCAATGTAACAAACTGCGAGGAGTTGAAGCGTGCAGAGCTCGCCAAAAAAGAATCCCTGACTGCTTTATGTCTGGACTTCGGCTCCAATGAAGAAGTAGTCAGCCCCGTGGAGGAACAAGTGTTGGAAGCCATAATACCATCGTCAACAAGCTTGGAAAGACTGCATGTAGTGAAATACAGGGGAGGAAGCATATTCCCTGGATGGTTGATGTCACTCTCCAACTTAACATTCCTGGGATTCGAGGTGTGCCCTGAAGTGGAGCATCTTCCCCCTTTGGGCGCCCTGCCCTCCCTCGAGAAGCTTGTCTTGTGTGGCATGGATAAAGTGAACAAGGTTGGCCTAGAGTTGTTGTTGGGGTTGAGTAGCAACAACAAAGGCCGTGATGATATTATTGCGTTCCCCAAGCTCACGCTGCTTATGATTGAGGAGATGGTGAATTGGCAAGTGTGGGATTTTGAGCGTGGTGATGAGGAAGCCGGGATGTTGATCAGCTCGGCGACGGTCATGCCCCGGCTGCGTCATTTGGAGTTGAGAGGGTGCGAGAAGCTTGACAAGGTGCCGGATGTGATTCTCCGGAAACCCACTCTGGAGCGGCTGGTAATAGAAAAGAGCGGCGGGCTGGGGAGCTACAGGTTCAAGTTCAACCGTGAGGATCCCGAAATGGTGCCGAATGAGGTGTGGGACAAAATCTGTCACATCCCCACCATTCTCCTCGACAAAATGGACATCCGAACAGTGTTCAAGAGCGAGATAGGTAATTCAATTACATGCTACCTACCTAGCTGCTAAGTAGTATACTCACAGAATGTTTTTGTTTATCCCTATACATCCAATTTTACCTTAAGTCTTGTTCCGCAATTATTATTGCATCATGAAATGGCAGAAGCCATGTCGGGGATCGGCGGCTGCTCTTACAGCAAACATGATTAGAAAAAAGCTGGAGATGATGATTGATGACGACGAACACCATGACATGACGAAGAAATACGGTAATTCAAGTCGATTCACTAATGCTCTCTGCTTCTTGTCTCTCTTCAGTAGTGATGTTACTGTGAGCTCATTCATTATTGTGTTTGTTCGACTGTTGCAGTCAAATGTGAGCAGAGCAACAGCAGCGCATTCATTCGTTCTTCGTTCATCCGCTAGCAGCTGCCACCCGCATCCGGCTATGCATGCCCTTCGTGCCTCTCATTTTACAGCGCAGCTTAATTTCAGATTGCGCTTCAAGTACTATGATCACATTTGCTTGGTTTTAAGACGACAATAAGAGTTTGCAAACAGAACCTCTGTCTCGATCGAAGAAGTCTGTCTGCTGTATGATTGTGTGTTTGTTTGTTTTGTGTCGTTGTCCTCTCTGGAGCGAGCGTTACCGGAGCTGCTCATCTAGTGGCATAACAAACTCTCTCGTTCTTGATTGGTAGTATGCTACCGTATGTATCGCTGTTAAGCGTCTTGTTAATTCATCTTTTCTGCTTGTTTTTTTCATTCTTGGCTTATGTTGGTGAGAACAGAAGAAAACAGAGCCTTTGAGCCTGTAGTATTGCCAATAAATTGATCAGTGTAAGCCTGCGTGCATGTTTTGAGACACATGGATCATCATCGGTTAAACTTGGTAGCGACAGCAGCCATAAATGTATTTGTGAAATGTATGCTATTTGTTCCAGTTGCGTGTTATTACGTAATACGTATTAAGCCATCAGGAGCATGGATCAACCTGACACGGCTGGAGCCATGGTGTCACCCTGCAGATGGAGGAACAGGCAATGGACCGACTGAGTTCATCGGATCGGGGAAGTGGAAGCAGATGGTGGCTGAGAGTGAAGATATTATCGTATGGATGATGTCCAGAGGCATTTTTCGTTGTGAAAAATCAGTTCTGGGAATTATATGTATGCAAGTAGCAGCAGAGCAGGAATGCAGGATTGCTGGCTTTCTTCTGTAGTCTTTTTTTCTTGCCTCGCCTTTTGTTTAGGAAAGAAGTAGATTTGGGCTTTTTCTGTGGAAATGTGGATAGAAGTGGGCTTTTATTTTTTTTTCTCGATCCGCCATCTTGTTTTTTATGAGCTCACTTGATCTGGTATCGTTTGTTCCCACTATTAAACTTGGGCCAACTTTGGTTGAAAAGTATAGTTTGATCTACAACCTACCTACCTAGTCATCAAATTATTAGCTCTTTTGGCAAAAAAAAAAGGGTCAAATTCATTTGCATAGCCAAAACTTTGACGGTTGTGACAAATATAGCCAATTTTGGAGAAATACCAGAAATAGCCAGATTATTGAAAGTTCGATGACAAATATAGCCATTTCCGTTACATAGTTTGACGGCGTCAATGACACCGTTAGTCTATTTAACGGACAGTTGATGTGGCTGCCACCTCACGTGTCTTTCCTTCCCACCTCAACATCCATTGACAGGTGGGATGCCACGTCACATTAAAAATTTAATTTTTTAACAAATTATTTTTTAAAATTTATTATTTCATATTTTTCCCCCTGACTTCATCTTCACCAACAAAACATCTCTCCCACTCCTTTGTCTCTTTCTCCCCTCTGGTCCAACCTCTCTCTCTATCTATCTCACCCTTTCATTCACCCAAGCCCTCTAACCATCATCTTCAACCTCCGACCAGTAAATCCAGAAAATGATGCCTCCTCAAAATGACCCAATTCAAAACCTGGAATCCAACCCTAGGATTAATAACATCCCTTCGTAGGTTTGGTGGCGGCGGCTTCGATTCCTTCTAGCGCCGTCCACTCTCAATATCATCCTCTCAGTCAACCGCTTTTCTAACTCCGCCGCCGATGGAGGAAGAGAAAGGAAGGAAGAGAGACATTAATTAATAACAATGTTGGTGCCGGCGTGGCTGGAGTCGCTGCTGAGCACCGCCTTCTTCTCTGTCTGCCGCCTCCAAAGGGACGCCGCGAGGAGCGAATGCAACATGTACTGCCTGGATTGCAAGGGCGAGTCGTTCTGCTTCTACTGCCGCTCTTCCCGCCAATAGGATCATCAAGTCATCCAGGTCAGAGAAGAGAGTTTCTTTTCGATTACCCAATTCGATTCCTTCTAATTGGGGAAAAGGGTAATTGCTAATTAGGGATTTGGGGGATTAGGGGAGAAATGCTGCAGATTCGGAGGTCTTCGTATCACGACGTGGTGAGGGTCGGTGAAATACAGAGGTTGCTGGACATCAGCGGGGTACAGACGTACGTGATAAACAGCGCCAGAGTGAAGTTCATGAACGAGCGGCCGCAGCCCAAATCGGAGTCGCCCACGTTTGTGAGATTTGCGGCCGGAGCTTGCTCGACACATTCCGCTTCTGCTCGTTGGGCTGCAAGGTAAGATTGCAGAGGAAAATCCGCCATTGATGTTTGTTAGGCCCGGCATGGCCTAAAATTAGGCAAAAGTTCAGATTGGGGGTGATTATTTTTTTCCAAGGCAAGCCCAAAGGGCATGGGACAAAGACTCGACACAATTACAAGACTGACTCAAAATAAATACGATAGTCCGTATGCAACCAGACTACGATGAAAGAGCCTGTTAAGCCACTACTTGGGCCGCTCTGAAGAAGCTCCGAGGAGCAAAGACACGACACTGACGGGGAAAAAAAAACAAAAACAAAAACACAAACCCAACATCTCCACGATAGTCCCATCAGCGAGTGTAATTTCCTTCAACGGAGTATGCCGGATGATCGGTATCGAGTTGCAACAAAAATCCACATCAAAGAAAATAAAGGGACATTAGCAATCTTCGACAGAGAAAGCTTAATTATTCTCATAAATTTGTTCGAATAAGACTAAACTATCACCTGATAGATTGATGAAACCTTCTTCAATTACTTTCATACCATATGAGCACCTGAAAATGACCAACCAACAATGCACGACTATGGTGCTAGAAATCTCTCTCTAAAGAGATAAAAGTCTACCGATGAGACATAATCGGGATTACCGAATATACAACACCAATAATGTGATGTAGTCACCAATATGAACTAAAAGAGGGAAAATAAGAGCAAGATAACTACACTGATGGTAATATTAATTTGACAAGTAATTAAATCAAACAAAAATTATTCCAATAGCATAAATAACGAAAATGTGAAATTCAAACAGGAAATAAAAGGAAAAGAATAGCCATAGACACTACCGAGACAGTTAAGGCCATTTTAAATTATAGAAATTAGCAAGCTAATTAAATAAGAGACTTGATTGCAATTAAACTCCGCCAATAAGGACAACTGAAGCAACTGAGCATAAATTACTCTCAGAAAGTTTTAAAATTAAAATGGATAATGACTCCAAAACGTTGGCGAGAATTAATACACATAGAATTTGACCCAAAATGGGTAACTGCAGAAATCACTTAGAGAAATTTTTAAAATTAAAAGAGAGATAATGACCCCAATAAATTTGGCGAGAATTGATACTCAAAGAATTTGAACCATAAAGGGTAATTGTAGAAATCACTCCAAGCGCAAAAACAACGGAAATTCATAACTACAATTAATAACGAGCTCATCATCATAGCCGGAAACGGACCGGAAAACAATGTACAATCCGAGCACGGCGGGGCAATGAAGGAGTGGTCGGCGAGAAAGACAAGATGAAACTGAAATGGAGGACTCTGTCAAAGATAAACAAAGGAGAAAAATGGCCTAATAGGACCGTTGTTGGTCGATAACACATGGAATAGAAAATTATAGACTACTAGTCAAATTGAATTACAGGAAGGAGGGCAACCAAAACCTATGAAAAGAAAAACGCAAGGAAATCGTGTGATTTACCTGATGAAAGTGGTGGTGCTTGTTCCGGCGAGGCAGCAAAACCAAGGCCTGTGTGTTTTGAATGGATGGTGCTGATTTGGAGTTGTCCTCCTTGCTTCACTCCTGGGTCGTGAGTTTAGTTCAGAGTGGGGGTGATTGCAGAAGAGGAAGCTTCTGGTAGGAAGATGAACAGGCGGTGGTGGTGGGGAGAGAGAAAGACATTTATTTTTTATTGTTTTTATAATTTTTTTAATTTAATTTGTTAAAAAATATAAGTATAAAATTTTAATTATTTTCCACCTAACATTATATTTTAATAAAATATGCCACGCCAACCACTGCTGTTAGTCCAGTCAGCACGTTAATTAACACCGTCAAACAATTGGACGGAAGTGGCTATTTTTGGTATTTCACCAAAAATGGCTATATTTGGCAAAATCGTCAAAGTTTTGGCTATACAAGTGTATTTGGCAAAAAAAAAAAAAACTATTAGCTCTTTTTCCTTCATTTATTTCTTGGTTCAATTACGTTATTCTTTATTAATTCTGTCGCAAATCTTTTCCCACTTTTAATCACTAAATAAATAATAATAATAAAATAACACTGTGAGAGGAAGGTCTACCTAACCAAACCACCCAATCAACAACCCGTAAATAACACTATTAAACAGGCCTAATCAGCTAATATTTTGATCGACACTTCATATTTTATTGAAATATTTGAAGTAAATAAAAATGAAGGTATAGGGTGAGAAAGACGACCGTGTTCATTGGCAACAAGTAAGTAAGTAAGTAACTTCTTCAACTATCATCTCTTGCGCCACGTGCTGCTTATCCCACCAAACACTTCTTTAATAATAAGTTAATAACTAAATAAATAAGAACCTTTCCTCCCTCCTTCCAGTGACAAACATTTTTCAAGCCGCCCGCACTCACATTTTGACCAAAAATCAAAAGGCCCAAAAGAGAGACCATGATATTTAACTTTGGATGGTAGCATTACAAGTCTCCACTAAGCTCATTTTTTAATTTCTTCTTCTTATTCTTATATATAATGTATGTTTGTGCCAAGTTTCATCACAGTACTAAGTTGCTTCATCCTATCACCTCAATCTTTCCAAAGAGGAGAGATGGTGATGAGTTGATGATGATCTATACAAATTGAAAGGTTAAATTCTATCTAAAAGATGTGTAATCTCCGTCTTTTCCGATTTAATTATCTCGGGCAATGGAGTTGATCAATCCAGAAGTAAATCGTTATTTCGTTGCTTTTACGAGTTTGAGTTGTATAGGTCTCGTAGCATAGTCATGGTGGGTATTGTAGTGTAGCTAGAGCGGGCAAGCTTTCGATCTAGTTTAAACATGAGACCAATTTAAAAAATAACAAGATCATAATCAATTAAGATTAAGTTTAGTTCGATTTAGTGAAACTTGAATTAAATTGCATATTCATTCATATGCTTGTATATATAAACGGGTAAATAGTACATTTCTATTTATAAGACATAAAAACATCTTCACTTACTATCTGTTAGTAAAAAATGACTCTAAAAAACAGACAAATCACCGTATAAATGTGAAATTTCATATAACTTATGAAACGTGATCACCGGTTGTTTACAAAAAATGATCATGCACACTCTCTTTTTGCCAAACTAATTACAAATCCACAAACTCCTTTAAGTAATGGGATGGATCAGTAAAGCATTTAGACATTGATTGTGGGAGCATAGCAAGTTGATGACCATTAGTCCACTTTGTGTTCATTATCGCATGCTTCTTGCAGCAACCTAGCTAAGCCCATGCCCATTACCCTGTCCTCTATATCTATAGCTTTAATAATCACACTTAAAATAATAATTATGATTATCTCCTAATCCACGAGTCTAATTGTACGAACTTGCAAGTGCCCCACTAGATAATATCATGAAAACTGCTTAAACATGATAATTCGTAATTGGAAAAAACAAATTCGGTTTAATTTACATCAACCAATAGAAATGTTATGATTAATAATTAAAATCATGTTTTCCTCCTGAGAACAATACACCGTAGGTACTTCAATAATTCTTACAATCCTTTATCTGAGGGTAAATTCCCCAACTCGGACCATCAATCGAATATTTGGAAACCACAGAATAAGAAAAATAATATTCCCATCCCCTTTTATGGAATAATGAAATCCGAACAAGTTCCAAAATTATAATTCCCACCTCTTTACTACAAACTCAATTTCAAATCACTAAATCCCAAGCAAATAAGTAAACACAGTAGAATGCCTTGATTCGTCATTCTTGTTATAAATAACAGAGTGTTCCTTAGTTCACCATTCTCGTTATAAATATTTCCACCAAAACAACCATTTGATAGCCACCAACAGTGTTTATGTGTCCGAATCACCTACCCGAATAAGCTTTTTTTTAATGTATTCATAGAACTCGAGTCGCTGGCTTCTGATGTGTCCCTAGTTTCCAGAGGCAAAAAGCTCAATCAACACAAAAATAAACCATAAAATCTTCGACATTACCTAAACTAACGGGTTGGCACTAGTATGCAAGCTCCGTCGCTTATGATTCTCATCACAATCCTCTTTTTTCTTTTTTTCCTTCTAAGAGCACGTATAACATCGTGTACCCGAACTCGACTGCTTTCATGAATTTGTCATCTCTAAAAAACTCGGGTGATAATTATCACATGCTTATCTTCCGTGCGACATCTAGCACTCAAGTTTCTAAACCGACCCTAACTCGGACTAACGATCTGATATGGTGAACCTCCGAATGCCTATTCTACTTCCCAAGTTCCCTTCATAACTCTATCTCTATCCTCCGGCTGGAATCGATGGTATTCATTGACAAGAACTTATTAAATCCATCATTTGGGCTCAAATCATAAATTAAAGTTTGCCTCTCAGGTTCCCTTCTTGACCCTATCCTCCGGCTGAAATCTCAGTCTTGAAAAAAAAAAAACAATTATCTATAAATGTAGCTAGATATATATATTAGATAATAGGAAGAAAAGGAAAGACCAAAGAGCCCCACACAAAGATGATCGGTGGAGACTACGGTGGAGCCCGGCGAGACACAGACAAAGGATATAAGAAATCCGACGACCAGATCCCGCGGCGGGGCGAGTCGGCAAAAACTACGCAGTTATCCAACCAACGGATGACAGCCCCAAAACCGCTTTGCCAACCCACCAACAGGAAGGAAGACACAGAACGACGGCGTACGTCATTGGTTCATTCATTCCCCACGCAACAACGTTGTATAATTTACCAAGTGAAGTAAAAAAAAAACATTTTTAGAACAAGAAAGTTAAAATTGTTGTCTTCTTTGATACATAGATAAATTAAGAGATAAAGCGCAGACAGAAACAAACAAATCAAAGGCTATTGAAGTTTGAAGAAAACAAAAATACCCCCATAGGAAGAGCCCATTGTATTATTCTCCTCCATATATGTACATTACTAGATTTTCATTTCCCATAGTTAGACTTTGGATGGCTACGTTGTAACAAGATTGCCATTCAATTGATACCCATCACTTGCTTTTGTCATAAATCACTTGGTACCAATAACTTCAAGTTGTTGGTAACTTTCAAACGAAAGCCAACTCACGTGCTTGAAATTTGCACAGGCCATCATACATTGTACTTTAATCAACGGTTAATATTGGACGTCGTGGAGATTCAAACACACGACCACTTGGCCAAACCAGCTATGATATTATGTGATAAACGAGTTGGTCCCAATAACTCGAGTTATTGGGCAAAAGGTTATTATGGATTTTATACCACACTTTTACAGCTTACACACACATTTTCTTTCTTACCAAATCATAATCCTTTTTATTCATTTATCAGAAAAATTTGTCGACTGTTACAAAGTATCTATCACTGAGTTCCCGACATAATTGTAAGAATGTCGTCGACATATAGCTTGGGTTCAAATCGAAACCTCGTGCAGGAGTTTAAAATGAATTTATCACCGGTTCGTCGATTCTTTTTGTTCAAACAACTTTGCTTACGGAGAAGATTACTAGTGTAATGAATACATACCAAATATACTTGTATTTTGAGCCTTGAAGCACAACAATATAACTCTCGAGTATTCAGGTCGAGATATTTTGTCCTTTAAATATACACCGTTTACATGATTGCACGACAACGCATTTCTTGGTTGCTCATCAATGTCAATCCATTGGTTAGGTTAACCCATGATCACTTAGCAGGCCAACAAATTAAAGATTGGTCAAGTCAAAATTTTCCTCCCCCCTTTGTCTTGCTCTATAACTTGCTTAGCACACAGCTTATCAGAGCAAATTCTTCTTGCTAGCTTGCTTCAAGAATGGAGACTAGAGAGCCCCCTCAAGAAAGTCAATCACACTCAAGTCAACATAATCAGCTATATTTAATCCCCACCTAAAGAATAGAATTAGTCTTCAAGAACAATTAACAAAATGCAAAATTCTCATTTTAGTTTCCTGTTAAGATTGTTATAATAATTTTGGTATAACTTGTTTTTTTGTTGCCCTGTTGCTTCAATTTGGTAGTTTGGCTTTTTGGTATTTTTTTAAACAAACAACAAGAAAAACAATTCCTTTTCTTGCACATCAAGGGCATATGCCACATCGTTGAATTTGACTATGATACTTATGTAATCGGATTAGACATATTTACGATATGTTATTGTTGAATGAATACCATACCAATTATGTAAACTTATATATTTCAGGGCGTAAACGATAAGATATTAGATTCAATACCGCTACTTATAATTAAAGTCTTTAAACCTTCTCAACTGATTAATTGTACATGCTAGGGCTTTCTCTAATTGAAAAAAAAAATTGTTACCATATGTGAAGAATTTTTCCTGGAAACCAAACATAAAATTTTTCCCAAGAGAGAAGCAGAAGAAGACTGTAATTAATATTCCTCCTATTTTGATCTTGCGTAAGATAGATAGATTTTACACAATATCTTATCTCCCAAAAACCCACCAACAAAAGAGAAAGAAAATTTCGCATAATTCTTTGGTTTGTCCTTCCTCTCTCTTTCTTACACTTTCTCTCTCAATCTGTTTTTTCTTTGATTTGCTTTTCCTACCGGAAAAAAGGTTCTTTCTCTCCTGACAACCAAACGGAAACCGAACCCCAAAAATAAACCCCTCGCGTTTTTACTCATCAGACAAATAGCCTCCCCATTTTGATTCTGTCCTCCATTGTTGCACCAAAAAAAAAAAAAAAAAGCTCCGACCTCCTTCTTACCCAATCCGGAGAGGGTTCGGGTGGGAGGGTTGTGAAATTTTTATTTTTGTTGATTACCCTGAATGAATTTCGACTATTGGATTTCTGGGTAGTAGAGAAATCTAGTAGAGGAATTAAGGGACAATCGTAACTTTTTTTTTTTTTTGTGGGATTGGGATTGATCGGTGGTGGGTTTGTTTCAAGTCGGACGATGAAACCGGGGACGGTGGATTACTGGAGGGACTATTTCCGAGCAGCGAATTCAGACATCTTCGAGATAATCGACCATGCTATCATGGTGGCGGCCGCCGATTGCCCCAAGGAGTTCCGGCAGCGGAGGGATCGAATAGCTGAGCGATTGTTCTCCTGCCGATTGGCCCAATGCTCCGGCTGCAACCGCGTGGAGCTGGCGGTGCCGCCGCCGGAAGGTGACCAAGTAATCCCCAATAAGATTAGGGAAGACGGTGGCGGCGGCAGCGACGGGAACGCGGTCGAGGAGGAGGAGGATGATGACGAGGAGATTGACATATTGGGCGACTTCGATGAAGAAGAAGAAGGCGGTGGGAGTAATAAAGAGAGTAAAGTCAATAGTAGTACTGATAATGGAGATCAGCTGGTGAGTAATTACAGCTATGGCGAAGCTGAAGCTTTAACGGATGAGCTTGAAGAACAGTCTCAGGTGTTTGCTGAAGTTCAAAGGATCAAATCCCTTCTTCTGAATCACCGTGACGAGGTATTACTATACAATTGGGTGAATTCTGCCCAATTCTGATTGAAAAAAGCCATATGATTGTTCTGATGAATGAACACTCTTTGTTTGGCTGATTGGGTGATTTGATCGATCAATCCTTTTGTTTGGCTATTCAAACCAGGCCGAATCAACGTTGTTTGATTCACTGAGGAGGCTTCAATTGATGGCTTTGTCTGTAGATACTCTTAAGGTAATCATTATTTGGAATTCTCTGCTATTAATTAGTCTTGTCTGTGGGGTTTTCGGAAGGTCTTGACCTTTAATGGTGTGTTTGTTAGGCAACTGAGATTGGTAAGGCTGTGAATTCTCTGAGGAAGCACGGATCGAAGGACATTCGTCAGCTGGCGCGAACTCTTATAGAGTAATGATTTTGCTTCATTCCCCTTCTTCTCTTGGGATGGATGGTTTTGGTTATGATCTTAGTTTGGTTAAGGGGACCAAAGTTCATGGCTCTTATGTTTGCGGACAAATTCTCTCTTCTGGGTTTGCAGTTTGTGGAAAGACCTGGTGGATGAGTGGTATAGTGCTTCAAAGACTATTGGAACTACTACTGTAAGGAATGAAGGTGGAACTCCCGACTCCATGAATCCGTCTGTTGTTGATGAAGAAGAAGGACTCCCTTCTCCTCCTATGGACGAAGGGATCTTCTTCGCAACTCAAGCTACTGGGATGGAGCTTGGACAAGTAATTACCATTTCCTTCAATAAAAGTCAAAAGTTCCCTTCATTGATCTGAAAACAGACTGAAATTGTGAACTGACTATATCATTACTTCTTGTGCTCCTGCTGCTGATTCGCCTGTGCAGTTTTTCGACGGAATGGATGATGATGGAAGTGAGTTGATCACTCTCTCTTTGCCTTTAGCTTCATCTGATGACATTATGTGCTCTCAAGAATGATTTCGTATGTAATAATGTTGTTTCAGATCCTCGGGAAATGAACAAGAACCGTGGGAATGGAAGAAGACCATCATCACATGATCCCAGGAGCATGCCAAAGCCGAGGCCAACAAGTAATAATGTTGTAAAGGGCCAAGAAGCAGCAGCCACATTGAAGCAGAATAAGCCCTCAAGCAATAATTCCGGCCCAGGAAGACCTCCAAGGCAAAACCTTGAGCCAAAGTCGAATACTACTAATTCGGTGACATTGCAGAGGAAAACTGATAAGATTGTTACTAGTCAGAGGAAGCCATTGAGTGGCCAACAACAGCAACAAACCGTAAGTTGCTTGTTAACTTTCATAACAGTTGTTAGGAAGAAAACTGCGACGAGCAATATTTTTCTGACAGTAGACATATACTGTGTGTTTCTTCGAATAGAGATTGAAGTGCTCGGATGAAGTATCAGTCCAGATGAAGCTGGAAGCCACAAAAAGGAAACTTCAGGAGAGCTACCAACAAGTTGAGAATGGTCAGTCTCCAAAACTAATCTCTCTTGTACCTATTTCGTCAGTTAAAAAAATTCAACTTGTTTCAAGCCTAACTCTGTTTCCTCTTTGTCAAACAGCCAAGAGACAGCGGACGATACAGGTGATGGAGTTACACGATCTCCCGAAGCAAGGGGGGATGGCAGCCAATCGAAATCCGAACATGAGACATGGTGGGAATGGCAACCGGAATTGGGCTAATGGACGACGTTGAGTTTTAACTCAAATCACACTATGTGATATATACTACATTCCTTTCTAACTTCTTTCCGAACCCGGAAAAGTTGGAAGAGAAGAAGAATACCAATAACTCGAATCGTGCATCAACAAATAAGAGTACATTCTTGAGGTTGTTGGTTTCCGAAAGAAATGGAGCTCGCGAGCTGCATCAGATTTCGTCGGCTCTAAACGGTCCTGTCCTGTGTATGTTATTCAGATTCTGGAGAGGAGCTGCCTGCCTACATCCACAAACCTACAATCAACAATGGCAAAAGTGACAGAAAGAAACAATCTTTTCACTTTTCTGTTGGAGGCTCTTTGCTTTTGTTGTTTAACCCAACATTTCATAGCTCTCACAAAGTTGACAGAAACCATTGGGAGAGAACAAGTGTAGATGATGTATTTGAAGTTGCACAAAGGGAAGAGCCCTCTTGTGATTCATGTCCTATTGACAACCAAATTCAGCATTTGGCAATTGTTTGGGATACATCTGCATCTCATTATTAGGGTAAAGAGTTGGGTCTCATTTGACAGACTGGTAAGTGGTAACTAATAAAATTGACAGGGAAATCTTTGATAAGGATTGATGGACTTTTGTGTGTGTGATGTGCTATTATTGTTCATGGTACTACTATTTAATCCTAGTCACTTTCAACTCTTCCAAGTGGCTCAATGGATGGTATAGATTGATGTGTGCTTAATGGTGGGTTACTGGGTTGGTAATGTCAGAAAGGATTAGTGTTGGATCGATCAAAGGATTAGTGAAGTGAATTAATGAGGGGTGTTAAGTAATAACTAAATTAAACTGAATTAGTAGTCAATGTTTCAATTAAGTCAGTAATCATCAAATAATTTGTGTCAGAACGTTATGTGATGTTTCACTAAGCACAAGAATTAGTAGTTGGTGTTTTAACTTACTTATATAATGAAACTTATTTGTATTCATGTGTATTTATGATACGAAATCGATACGTAAATCATACATAAGAATTTGACTAGTAGGACTAAACAAGCAAATTTCATGATTGCTTGATTACTAATTTTTCTGATGTAATTAGTTCCTGCCCATGTGATCGTTTTTATCCAAATTAGCAATACACATATGAAAATTGGATAAATATTTTTCTATCAATTATGAGGTCAAGGAAAACGAGTTGCATGCATCATTCACTCCAGCTGCAAACAGAAAAGGGAAGAAATGGAAGAGATATATACAAAAGGTCACTCTAAATTAAAATTATGGTACTTTTCATTTGGCAAAATTAGATAATTTATTTTGAGGAAAAAAATAGAAACAAAACAAGAAAACATGATGGGCCATTTTCTTTTGTCCACCATGTGTGTAGAAAATGATGGATTGTATTTGTAAAACATGACTCACACCAAGCAATAAAAGATGTGGAGGAGAGGAGAAGAAGAGGGCTTTCATTTACTCATCCACAACAAGCAAACAAAATCATTCTTCATTGTCCCCAAAGACATGAGAACAAGACCTAAGAAAAAGGGCAACTTGTATATATAACCAACAATCAAGCACTCACCCAAACATTCTCTCCAAACCCTAGCATTCTCGATCATGAGTTCTTTTTTACGGTGGACACGAATCGGTCGGATCAGAATTTAATGAGACCGGGATATGATTTCACTAGATTAAAATAACAAAAAATATGAAGTTCGTAGTAAAACTAAAAGTACATCTGATTGGTTCAATTCAATTAGTACGAAATCAAACGAGTCTCGTTTGTTCGTCGAGTGGACTGATGAACTAGTGAAGCTAGGTGAGGATGGAAGGGAGGGAGATTGACCACCATGTTCTTTACTTATTACTACCTTGTTTGTATATGGTCATTGAAGGAGGCTAGGGAACAAGGACAAAATTGAACTATTGAAGGCAAATGGCTACAGTCAAACAAACAGAAGATGATGCTGAGAGATGGATGGATAGATAAAGAATAGAATAGAGCCCACATAGAGACTTCAATGAGGATGCTCATTCTATTGTTATCCAATCCTAAAAATCAAACCAAACCTCAAACCATGTCCCTCTTTCTCCATGCAAAATGACCAGTCTTGTTTAGATGAGTAACTGTAACGGATTAATCTCACTCAATTATTTCATTTTGAGACAACTGGATCAAATTAATTTGTTTTTTTTTATGTTTTGGACAAATCAATTCGTCAAGAGAATTTCAAATTGATCCATTTTGAGTCAATTTCAAATATCTTGAGAGGGGACAAGTAATTGAAATGAATTTGTTATAATCACTCATTTTATATAATGAGATAATTGTCCAAATAACTCTTTCTACATACAACTATCCGTAATCCAAATTCCAAATAGATAAAAATGTGAGTAGAATATGATTTTGAAGATACTTCACAAAAGGATATATCCTTTCCTTTGTGTTAAGTGCCGGATTTGCACTCTCAAAAAGGTGAAATACAATCCAAAAGAAGTAGGTGAGTCTAAAATCCATAGTGGGATCCAAATCGGATCACTTCAACACAAATCCCACTTCAAGAAACCGCAAACTATTTGTGTGGAACAAGTTACAAATTGTTTATTAGGTAAGCAATGAGTCAAATTGTCCACTAAGGATAGAAGATTCAAGCAACAAATTTTTAATTTAGTAACATGTTTATAACTACAACAACATAATTTTACAACTATTTTGTATCGCTCTTGCAAATAATTCATAGAAAAAAGCATACAAAAACCTTTTTCTCCCTTTCCCTTTTAGCATATAATGTTATAACTATATAATTTGTATCGTTTTTTAAGGGATGTAAATTAGCAAAATTGTTTGCATTGAGGGTAATTTCCTTTTAGAAAATGATTAAGGTTGTATAATTACACTATTTTGAATAACTAATTGAACCAAAAGTAGTGTGTCGATTGTCAATTGGACGCATTTGCTAAAAAGGGAACATCTCATTCTCCTTTATACTTGCTATCCAGTATCAACCTTTTTTCTAAACAGTACGAATTTTGTCTTACAAGTGTGAATGAGAAAAATTATCAATGAGTTATTAGTACATGGACAGTAGTGAAGGTGGTTGTAACAAATATAAAAGGAATTCTCAATAGATTGACCTAGTCATTAAACTAAATGTCCATGCATTTATTAATACAGTTGTTCGTCTCTCGTCGCTCAATTTCACCTAACCGAGGGAGTTCATGTTCGTTGATCCCTTCTTAGAAATCCGCTTTTATAAAATACAATTTTAAACATCAAGTGTTCATTAATTTCTTGTCGTCGTTTCACGAGTTCGATAATTATACAAATCATTAAAAAAAACACCATGAAAGAGCCAAACTGAGGCATCCATCAAGAGTTCATAAAAAAGGGCATCCATCAAGAACCAACAATACGAAAGATAAGGTGTCGTGCTAAAAAAAGGCAGTCAAGGAACTCTAGGGGGAAGTACATAACATTTGCCAAGTAGTGGAGCTAATATTTTTGAAATGAAATTAGAGTTAAGCTTGGTAATGTTATAAATCACGTGGACTATCTCGTATAATCTTATTTGAATTTCGTAATACTTTCAAGTGTGAATCCATCATTTTAACTATTGTGGACTACAAACTTTATTAATGAACTCTCAAACGATTTTATCTTTTTTTTTTATGTGATTGTTGTACTTTCAATTCTGTCTTCAACAAGTATAGCAAGAAAGAACATCTTTCCCTTGCGAAAAAAAAATTCAAGAGGGGAAATGAAGGGGCAAATATAGAAGTCAAAACTCAAAAAGGACACATTTCTGTATTTCAAGGGTCCTTTGTCGGCCGAATAATATTCGGTCATATCAAAATTCATAAGCAAATATATCTTAGAATTTGGCATCACATGACTTCATTTCATTTCGGTGTTGAAATATTCAATTTTGACCAAGAATTTCAGGGCGATGCTTCCATGAAACACGTTTTCGTGGGTTTGGTTATGGTTATGCCAACCAACCCATGAGTCATGGTAGTACCAAACTAATTAATGGTCCTAGAAATAGACCCATAACCAAAGTTATCATGAACATTAAGGTAACCACCGTCCTTAACAACAAATTATTGACTTTTAATCACCACCATGCATTCGGTGGAGTTGGCTCATCTTAGAAGGCAGACGGCCCAAGTATCTTAATATCTGTATTCGTCTTTATATTTGAGAGAATTATGTCGGATATATTGGTTTGAAACAAGTGTGGGAGTATGTTGGCTCGTTCAGAGTATGCATTTCAAAGAAAGAGGATCCATTAAAGTAATTATTTCATTTGAAATTGAGGGAATGAAATGATTCATGGTGCTAAATTACATGAGAAAAAAATGGAGTCACTTGATATTAACGCCATGAAGTTAACGAGTGAGGAAAGTTAAAAAAATGAATTATAACGTAATAGTTAATATATTATTTGGTAACTCAAGAGTCACAGGTTCAAAACATAGAAATCAAACACAAGTTGATACCAACATGACTCATACATATACGCTAATCTAAAGCGAGAAATAAGTACCCAATTCAAATAAAATTACTCAAAACCATACTTTTCATCTTTATGAAAGCCCGAAATACATGATTTTTCATGCTACAATGGGATAAAAACACTATAATGTATTCTAAGGGAAAGAAATTACATGTATTTCGAAGAACACAGGAACACAAAAAATGCACGCAATATCAAACCAAACTCAAATAAATCCATTTTTCTCTAGGATAGCTCATGCGACCTCCACTAGTCCACCTACCTAACTTAAACAAAAGTTGTTGTAGGGTAAAAAGTAAAAACCCTAAAACCATTGCTCCACGTAAAATACAAAACACAACGGAAAGAAAGAAACTGGTAGAAGATAAGAATACAATTTAATTAGCACGTTTTATAAAACAAGAGAAGAAGAACACGACGCCAATATGCTCACGTGTTGCAAAAGCACCATGCACGACGCCGGCCGACCACCGGACCCCATCGCTTCGCAGGTCCCGACGCTGTCAGGTGGCAGTTGGTCAACTTGTCATCCTTCATTTTCCTTCTCCGCTGTACGCCACTCTCTGGGCTTTTACGAGCCCAACCCTAAACCAAGTCCCCTTTCAGGCCCATATAGATATTTATATCCCAGGCCCGTTTAAGTCCAACAATTTTGTAGCCCATTACGTAAGTTGGGCGTTTTTCAAAAAGTCTCTATATTCAGGAGTCAGGACCACGTTGGCGTGGTGCGAAAGCCAGACAAAACGACCGCCTTCGATTCTAGAGGAAGAAGAACAACACAAAGCTTCCCGAAGGGCATTTCCCGTTTCCCTCATCAGTCTTCTTGCTTTCAGCGCTCTACTGAAGCTACTACTTACTACTCTCTGCTTCCGGCCATGGATCCTGATCCTGCTCAGTTGCTCCAATGCGCGACCGACTTCGCGCAATATCCCGGCACTCAAACCGACGCCGCCGCGAGGGAGCTCCTCCACCGTTTCCCGCTCCCCGTCATTCTCAGGTACGCAACGTGTTCGGTTCTTCCGATTATCGGGAGGAGGAAGAGTGTTGATTTGATTTCTCGATTTCAGTTTTTCACGAATTTGCTCTGGTGTGCTCCTGCAGCGTTTTGCAGAGCCGAACGGACTCTCCGCCTGGATTGGAGGACGCTTTGGTTGCTTGTTTGGAGAGGCTGTTCTCGACTAGATATGGAGCGTCTTTCATCCCGCAATACATGGTAGAGTAGAGTGTGCTTTCTCTGTTTGACCTAGTTGAATTAGGCGTGGTGTGGGAGCATGGCGGCTTGGATTTTCTCCTCATTGTGGCTTTTGCTGTTGTTGTTGTTTCTTTCTCCAGCCTTTTCTGCAGATGGCGTTGAGTGCCGATGCTGAGAAAATCAGACGCCTGGGTTGCAAAACGGTGAGGGATGAGTCCATTTCTACATGCTGTAATGTGTTTTGGAGTTTATCTGTATCTGAACCGTACCTTTGCTATGATGCAGGTTGCTTATCTGTTGGAGAAATCTTGCGAAGAAGGAATCGCGTCGCCTGAACAGTTGATTATTGATCATGGAATATATCCCCTTCTGCTTGATTGTCTCATCAACGGGTAAGAGTCCTATTTTCTTTCATGCCGTGTTTAGTTTGTAGGACCAATGAGTATTGAACTGGAATTTGCCGATTCTGTAAGCGATGGAATAAGAATCGTCTTTGTTGGTAGCTTAACGTGATGTCCTGGTCCTCTCATTTGATTTGCAGCAATGAACAAGTGTCAGCTGCCTCACTTCATGCAATTACAAAGATAGCTGTCTCTCCAAAAGGCATTGTAAGGAATTCGTTACTGTTTCTTCCCTCGCATTGTAAGGGTTAATTGCATAACGTCATGGAGGTGGTGCAATTTTGTCATATTTGCTAAAACTTTGCAGGAGATCATTTTCCCGTCCAACAATGGTGAAGCAACACATCTGAGGAATCTGTTGGTCCGATGTTCATCATTGGTACGGAATTATATGTCTGCGAGATCTAATGATGTAGCATTCACGACATGATATTAATGTCCATTCATTAAGGACGTTCAGTTACTCTTTCTCTTTATAAAAAGTGCTCTCCAAAGTGTTTTTAACCTTGTGAACTCCTATTTCAGGGTCGTGTACGAGTTTTGTCTTTGATAGTTAAGCTATTCGCTGTTTCCCCTAGTGTGGCTTCAGCAGTTTACAGCTCCAATCTTCTTGGCTTATTGGAAGCGGAAATCAACAATTCAAGTGACATGCTTGTAACTTTAAGTGTCTTGGAGCTTTTTTATGAGGTGTGTGTAATTGTTAGCGGCTTTTACTGATTGGCATTGTCATTAAAGCTACTGGTCATGGCATGTGCATTTTCGAACTTCTTCCATTTGTGAACTGTTTCATTAATGTGTCTGATTTTGTTTGTTGTTTTCTTCCATTAATTTACTTTTCTCTTGGGGGTAAAAAGTTGGCTGAAGTTGAGCATGGGACAGAACTCTTGTCCAGGACAACTCTTATCCAGTTACTTACTCGTATGATTAGGTAGGCATTTTAGTTTCCAAACGAGTACTTTTTGTTAGGGGGGATGCTTTCATTTCAGGACTAACACCTTTTATTCTGTGAAGTGATGTTACAATGGACACAATTCTAAGATCCAGAGCAATGATGATTAGTGGGCGGGTTTTGTCAGCGGATGATGCATTCAAGTTCTGCGATGAATCGGGTAAAACCTTCCCCTAACTTTTGGATTCTTTATAGCCCCAGAAAATCTCTAGTTGTAACATATCTGTTGCCAAGAATTTTTATTTGTGAAGTGTTACCTGCAACTCGCCCTCTTTGAAAGGTTATGTCTGATGCTCTGATATCTTCTGCTGCCATTATTAACTTGACCGCATGTTCTTTGGCTATGCATGTATTTGAGCACGGAATTAAAGATTTAAGTAGGCTTTCTGAAAGCTGTCTTTTCTTACAACATGCCACTATGTTGCATCTTCAATCAGGTGTGAAATCCCTTATTTTGGCTATTGAAGGAAGGCTTCTTGCTGAAACTCTGGATGCTAATGAGTGTGAATCTGCACTTGAAGCACTGGGCCAAATTGGATCATGTAAGTAGATCATTACCTGATATTGCTTAAGAGATGGTTAGAATAACATATGCTTGGACTTGAATATATACTTTAAATTTCAATGAAACCTCTAATAGTTGTCGTATAAACAGAATTATGAAATCAGTACTTCGCTGCTAAATTTGTTTCTCCATCTTCAGCTAATTGGTTAGACCTTCGAGTTGCTATTTTCTGTTAGGCTTCACATGTTGTCCCTTCTAGAGTTTGAGTTGTGTTTTCTGAATCCATATTGTGTCCTATGTCCTAACAATGTGTCCACCTCAACTATTTTCATGTACTTTAAAGCCGTCCCAGGAGCAACATTAATACTCACCTTATCACCACCTCCAGCAAGACATGTCATTGATGCTGCATTCAATAGGCAAGTGCATGGTAAACAATTGGTGAGTAACTGAAATCCTGTTCTGGCACTTTTCTCTCAAGAAACAACTTTCAGAAGGCTCTTCAAATTGTCTTGGGTAGACCATAGGGTACAAACCACTGATTTCAAACCTATCTATTCTACATCTTATGTGGTTTTACACTTTTACTTTTGCTACCATGAACAGGCTGGGCTCCACTCATTTGCAAACATTTCAGGGGAAACTCGGCCCGAGAACAATAGGATTCTGAGCGCTGTTGCAGAAGACAATCTTAAACGACTGATGTATGAGATTGCATCAAGGAGTTCAAAACTGACTCCATCCGTGAGTGTTGGCCTGATTCATTTGATCTTTAATCTGCTTTCCTTTGATGTTCCTTGATCTTCTTATCTGGTGTTGAACATATTTGCCTGAACACCTACTACACTTTGAATAATCACATTGGGAACCTTGGCTTGTACACTGCTTGTTGCATTTATATCATGTTGTGCTCCAAATACCCAACCAATCCGCATGCCAATGTATATGTTCCTTGAGATCTATGGCTTTTCTACTTGCTGTTTCACTTAACCTCCTTTTGTTGATTGGGTAGGGACTTCTGCTCTCTGTTCTTCAACAAGATTCAGAAGTTCGTTTAGCTGTAAGTATTCCAATTTGAATCTGTTTTTACTCGATGGAGTTTGATGGAGTCGGGGTCCTTGCACGTTGGTTGGTGTTGGAGAGTTATTGCTGATTGTATCCATGGAATGTGCAGGCCTACAGAGTGATTACCGGGCTAGTAGCTCGGCCATGGTGTCTGATGGAGGTTTGCTCGAAACAAGATGTAATTAACAAAGTGACTGATCCAAGTACAGAGTCCACAAAAGGAGGTATGTTCTCAAATGCTTAGCTAATTGGCTTAGCTAAGCGTTCTCTTTTTTTTTTTTTCTTTTACTTCGTCCTGCTTCTCAAGTCATAAAGAACCCGGGAAAAAGTTTGCACCTAACAGGAGTTCAACTAGTGATTTTCGACCTATTTGAATTTGAATTTGAATATCAGATCGCTGTACTGCTGCATTTTGTCTGTCTGGTTTCATTTTGCTTTTTAACATCTCGGTTTGCATTTTCTCGAATTTTCGTGATCTGTGACTGATTTGCAGGCATGGAAGCCAAGTATAAATGCTGCAAGGCAATCTACGAAGCTTTCTCGGTCAGATTCAGCAGCAACCCTGCGTTTTCTGGAATAGCTGCCAAGGTCAGAGATCGTTTCGTCATGAATTACCTCCACTCCACAAGTAGCAATAGAAATTTAGTGTTTTTGACTTGTCTGGTGGTAATGTTGGGGGAAACCTTAACTGAACCTTTTCGTTCATTTCTGCAGTTGCAAGAAGCTGTTGATAGGGGGCCGTACCTCACACGCAAGAACCGCGAATCCCAACCCGCCGTAATGACTGCAGATCGACTCTGATCTTCCGTTGAAGCTGCCAGTGACTTGCGTGTTTGTTCCGACGGTAGAAATCTCTAACGTAATAGGTTGTAGAAATGTAGGGGAGATGACAACAGTTGGATGATGAAGTGTAGTAGAAACGTTTGTTGTTTGCGTGAGTGATCCTTTGTGGTGGTTTGTATTTGTAAGCTTCCGTAAACTGCTATTTTCAAATTTCAAGTGAGTTGCAACTTTTACATTGCCTTGTCATCATTTATGTGGCCGAACTATCCGGGCAGGTCTCAACTTACCTGGGCTCATAAACGGCACAAAGAGTAGTCTGATGTGGGAAGTTGGGCCTAAATTGCTAATAGGGTTCATCAAATATCGGCTTAATTGCAAGTTTGGTCACTCGAATTGCTATAAAATTTCACGTTTGCCACTCAAATTAATTTATTCCATTTATAGTCACTCGAATTAGTTGAACAGTTCAAGTTCGGTCACTCTCCGTTAACCTCCGTTAACTTTGACTGACGTGGCGGTCAACTCTGACAATTGACCGTTAAATGTGTGACGTGGCAAATAAAAAATAATTAAAAAATAAAAATTAAATTTGTAGAAATTACACATCATTATCACAAAAAGTTATAATTATAAAAAATGAAAAACGACTGACGTGGCGTTTTCTTCTACTTAAAACCCACCCCCCGATTTTACAATTCTTTATGCTTGGATGAAGCTTCTGCGGCTGCGGCGGCGGCGGCGACAGAGGGGATTCCGTTCTCCTCCCGCTGCGACGGGCTCCTCCAGAACCCGGTGTCGTAGAAAGTCTCCCACATCTCCTTCTCCAGCTTCATCATCTCCTCCCCGCCTCCGCCGCCGGAGCGGAGCTTCCTGAGGACGTCGCCGTCGTCGGCGTCGTCGAAGTCCTCCATGTGCATCCCCATCATCATCTGCAGGTCGAACGACTGCGGGTCGCCGTGGATCGGGTGGATCTGGACCTCGGTGTTGTCGCAGCCGCACTGGCAGCGGCGGGCGCGCGGGAGGAGGAGCCCCTTCTTCATCAGGTGCTGCCGCCGCTTCCGCCGCAGGGCCTTCGTCGCCGCGCTGCTACGGAGACGAGAGCGGCGGGTGGAGTGGGTACATGGTGGAGGAGAGCGGCAGTTACATGAACAACTTTGCTGATGAAGAATATGACTGGTCGTTGTGGAAGACATTAATTTAATTAATCGTTGTGGGAAAGAGGTAGGGAGTCCGTACTACTCGTGAAAATTTTGAAGTAATGAGGGAGTGGCCTTTGCTTGCTTGCTGAGAGCCTCAGACATTCTGTAAGGGAAATTAGACAGTCGCGGCCTCGTGTTCCTTTTTTGAGCTGAGGTTGTCTTCTTCCAATCGTCGACCATTGTTTTCTGGGACGAGGGAGGTAGGGGGGGATGAAAGGGACTTGTCTTCGTTGTGCAGTGTGCTCGTAATATCCGATCCACACCAGCAAGTCGGAGGGACGACTCCAGGAATAATGCTAGCTTCTCGATTGTTGCGGCGACTTTTTTTGCTCGCCGTCGATGCTGCCCCTGCGGCCTGGCGAACCTCCTCTTCCTCACAATCTACAAGGTCCCCGTGGGCTCTGCCGGAAGGCCTCGTCGATGCTGCCGCCACGTCAGTCGTTTTTCATTTTTTATCATTATAATTTTTTGTGATAATGATGTGTAATTTCTATAAATTTAATTTTTATTTTTTAATTATTTTTTATTTGCCACGTCACACATTTAACGGTCAACTGTCAGAGTTGACCGCCACGTCAGTCAAAGTTAACGGAGGTTAACGGAGAGTGACCGAACTTGAACTGTTCAACTAATTCGAGTGACTATAAATGGAATAAATTAATTTGAGTGGCAAACGTGAAATTTTATAGCAATTCGAGTGACCAAACTTGCAATTAAGCCTCAAATATCTCTTATAATTTCATTTTTCTATGTACCGTTTCCTACGTCATTCTAGAATACTAACATTTCCTACACAACTTGCAAAATCAAATTTAATTAATATATCATGAAATTTTGGATTTAAGTTACATATATTTCAAGGTGGATTCACAGAAATAAGGTATACATCACACAAAAAAAAGTATACATAAAATCCAACCCTAATTTATGAACTTGCAATTTTAAACAATAATCCTACAATCCCAATTGTAAATCCTAAATTATTCAAATAAGCCTAAATTTTGAATGGAGTTTTGGTGTGTAAACTCATGTGTTTTCTTGTTCATTATACTAGAAATGACAATTGAGATCGTTTCGGTATGAATTGTCTCCTCTTAATGACGATTATATGATGACTACAGTCTACCGTGCATATCACGCACCAAAAATAAATGCACCGAAAACAAAAACATAGGAAATGAATACATGGAATAAAATAATAGTGAAGAACCAGCTGCGAGCGTGACAATTGGCACCGGAAAAATGGAAACAAAATAAGAGGCCCGACCACCATGGGACAGTCTTTGGGCAAACGTAGTTCCGCCGGCCGGCCGGAGAATAACTAATTAAGGCTCTTCATAATCAAAAATTAACTTGCCGCAAGAATTATTCGTTGTTGGGAAAAACCACGAGACATGAATTATATGCAAATCCATTATAAACGCTACAAATGAATTTTATGCCCTATGACGTCTCTAACCAATCGTCGCCGGCCGGCGGTAAATGAAAAAAAAAACTGGTTGTTCTGTTTAACCGTTTCTTGGCTTATCCGGCGATAGAATTATTCGGCCGTCCAAAAAATGCCCGACTCCTACCTTGTCTCATCATGTCACGTACGTGTATATAAATATATGATTTTGTCTTCGGTACATTCATCATCTCATCTGTTCGCAATTCGAGTACTATACCAAAGTAGCAAGAACAATGGCGAAGTCACACATATCGCTAGCAACGAAATCCGCCGTTGTAGTACTAATGATAGCGGCGGCGTATTTCGTCACCGTTTCCGGCAAAGACAACAATGACACCAAGTTCTGCGGTTGCGGTCCGGCCAAGGACCAGAAGAACTTCCATGCCCGCCTCGGCAGTGTCCTCGACGACGTGGTGAAAACGACGGCGGATTCGAAGCGCATAGACCAAGTCTCTGGCGACATAACCTACACGGCGAAGGACCCGGCCAACGGCCGCGGCGGCGCCGCCGCCGCAACCGGGACCTGTTTCGGTGGCGCTCCTCTCGCTAACTGCTCATCGTGTCTGTCTAAGGCGCGGGTTTTTTTGGATGGGTGTGGAGTTTTTGCCTGTGGCGGACTTCGGTTTGAAGGCAAGTGCCGCCTTCAGTTCCGGCAGCTCAAATGATGCCGGTGATCGTTACAATTTCCGAATTCCGGCGGGAACCCATAATACTACTCTATTAATAGTTTGTGTGTAAACTTTCTATCAATCACTCGGTCAAAGTAGTTTGCACTAATTTCTTCTTTTTTTTTTTCCACTAGTGCACTTTCTATCAATTGTGCCAATGTATTAATGTCCAATGCTTTGATATATCCTGCTATGAAACGTAATATAAAAAATGTTTGTTTTTATTCTAATTACTATTAAGTTGTGTTGCTATCGGGATGATGATAATGAGTATAAAAAATGTATACTCTTGCGGGGAAGTTTTGCAACCTCATTCTCGACCAACGAGATGTTTAGATCTGATTAAAGTCACGGAAAAAGGACTAAAAACAACGTATATGCACACAGAAAACTTGTTCAATGTCACACGATATGCAACCCTAGATAAGCTAACCGGTCGACATTAATGCATGATGGATACTAAACCAAACTGAAAATTAGATCGAATCGATATTTGATTGAATACACGGTTCTATAGTTTTTTTGAATATTAAGGAAAAAATGAACTGAGCTAGTATTTGAATCGATCGGATCAAATGAAACAAATACACTTTCGATCGGGTTCTATCGTACAAATTTCATTTACAACTTCATGCCGACTAATTCTATTATGGCACGATCCAACCATATATATGAGCTAGATACAAATAACATGCGTTACACCTTTAGACGCAACATAAAAACAACATCAATTACATGTACTATATACATCCGACTCTCTTCACCATTCCTCCATCTTAATTAGGGGCAAGCTACATCATCAGACTCTCTCTTTGTGAGCACAAGTTTGAGAGTTTTAGGCGCGTAGAATACACAAATATTATTTGTAAAAATTGTAACAAAGCATTCTTGTTAAATTTTTAAAAAACATATCCATTATTAAAAAAGTTTACAAATGAATTAATTTTATGCCGTACGACGTTTCGGACCAGTCGTTGGGCCGGCGGCAACTGAAAAAAGCTGGTTGTTACATTATGTTTAAGCGTTTATCTTGGTTTATTCGGCGACAGAATGATTCGGCCGTCCAGAGATGCTGACTGTTAGCTAGCTTGTCTCATCATGTCATAATGTACGTACACATGTAAGGCTTGCAACTGCCGCCGGAAAATGAGTAAAAGGAAAACCACTATGGAGCAAGCGAAAGCGTACTTGGGCGCATATAATTCCGCCGGCCGGCCGGGCGGACGGACGGATTTAACCGGAGTCGGGAAGCGTATAGCATCCATATAACTTGAGTGTATATAGGCTAGAATCTCTGTGTCGGCCCTCGTTGAATCTGTTAAACGGTGGAAGGATCTAATCCAAATTAGCAATTGCTAATTGAACTAGAACATGCTGGCATACAATATAATAACTCGATTCAACCCGGTTAAATAGGGTAAAACTCAATGTTAACGGGTATTAAATCGAATATAGATTTACTCCTTTTTGAAATTGGATCGGATCTCCGACTGCTTTTCACCTGACCTACGTCATAAAGCAAAACAATATTATTTAATATCTAATAATTTATGAATGTCATTAATTTTTATGGAAATATAGTTATGATAATATTAGATAATTTATACATGTTGTTATTAGTCTTTATATCAATATAATGATGTTAAGATACGGAGGAATTATCTGCGCGCGATTATGCCAATAAATACGTACATAGATACCACACACCCATGGCCGATTGGGTTGGGTTGGGTTGGATCGGGGGCGTTGCTTCCGAACTCTCATCGCGAAGTCACCTTACTCCATCAAAATGCCCCCATAACTTCGAATCGACGACAGATAATCAGCCAACTTCAAATCATAATAACATGTATAACCCGATCTAACCTGGCCCATTACCATCCCTACCACCATATACTATATCAAGAATGTCCTAATCACAATATAGTCGTATTCTTTGTCATGAACCAGTTGATCCCAATAACTCGAGTTGTTGGGAGAGGGTTATGCTGGATCTTATACCACTCTCTAACACGCCCCCTCAAACTAAAGCCAACCCATTACCCATGGGCTTGAAGTTTGCACAGTCCCACCATACCATGTGCTTTAAAGA